ATAATATGCGCTTTACCTTTCAAACAATCTCTCGCTTTCCGGCGAAACAGCATGTGGTGAAAAGGCAAGCTAAATTGGATACTTGGTCGCAGAAGCTGATTTTTTTTTATTGTGAAATACACATTACAAAAGAAAATCAACACAAGCATCATTTTAGTCTACATATTAAAACGTGTTTTCTCTCCGAAGGTTCGTGGTTTAGTCACACTAGCGGCAAGCCTGTTGAGCGATACAAGTTCCACGGACAACACCCCTTGGCAGGGAAATGGCTGAAGCAGTTAAACATGTAGGGTTTCACAGAGATATACAACAATGCGATGCAGGAACACAAGTTTAAATCCTTTGTACATGAGAGCAAGATCACATCACTCCGAACAGTCAAATCAAAACAACCAAACATTGCCACCGTTCGAACACAAGAAAGTTACGCGCGGCAATTACCTTCCCCGTGTTTCACACCGTGGCCCATCGTGGCTCAAACACGTGGCCAACAATGACACCGCTTCACTCCTTCCAACCCGTAGATCAGAGATTATTACACTGGGAACATTGTGAGTGACACGGGTACCGCTTTATTTAGCCAAGGGTACAAAGCAGCAACCCACGTTTGCAGACGGCGCGGTAGCTTTGCCCAAACTCAGGCATTTCGCTTCTTGGTGCTGCGGAAAGTTTACACGGAGAGGATGAGTGAGTGGGTGGAGAAGTGGGACGTGAACAGCACTTGCTGCACCGGTGCCATGGTGAAAAATGTCACAGCCTGTGTTTAGTCGACTCGCAGGATCTCAAAATCAACAAGTTGGCTGAATGTTGATCAGTGTACACTTGAACACGTAAGCTTTCGCGACCAATATTATTCATAAAAGGTTTTTGGGTTAGATCGCGTAAGTATAAATGCGTCGTAACCCTCCACCACCCGACACAGCCAGTAAGGTTTGTCACGTAAACAACGCGCCAATTAGTTACTTCAGTCCACCGGTGTGTTGGTGAGTAAATCTACAACATTTCGTGCGATGATGCTGGATGTAATTACTGTACCAGCTAAACGTCGTATTCAAATTGGAAATATTGTGGATTTACTCTCCAACACACCGGTGGGTTGTAGTACCTAATTAGCACGTTGTTTACGTAATAAATCTTACTGGCTCTGTCGGGTGGTGCAGGGTTACGACATTTATACTGATGCGATCTAACCCAAAAACCTTTATGAGTGTACAAATGGTTGGGAGAACCGTCCATAGGACAGGGCAATTGTTGATAAAGAGTATTTAAATTGAGAGCACGTGTCCGTTTCACGAACTAAAAGTATTATGACGAAACTAATACAAGTAGACTTGAAGAGTTTCGAAAAGGGCCAAGGATGCAAGATATTTGTTATTCGTAGACTAAACGTCGAACAATTTTTTCCCCCATCACTAATCCATGGGTAACACGGGTGTCGCCAGTGTGCTGAGCAGGGTCCCAGATTCCCTGAACCGATCACGCAGCGTTGGTGTCCAATGCCGACATCAAAATGTACAATAGTCTACAGCAAGTTAAATGTACACGGCGATTAATAAAAACCAGAAAAAGAACTCGCTTTTAACCCAAGCTTCGCCTTCACATTTCTGATCTGTACAAACTCTGCAGGAGTACGGATTTGGTACGCATTGTAGAATTGCAATGGGAAAATCGTGTTCCACGTTTGCCTGATTTGACATCATGCAAATGCCGAGGTTACCACTCGATGTCCTTCACGTGTGCAGGTCCGTTTCCATTCCAGTTGGCAAATAAAAACCCGATACCTTGCAGTTAGATTCTGGGCATGCAGTATGAACTTTAAAAATACAAAACGTGTCCTATTCTACTTGAATGCACCGTCTGGATAAACAAAATACGTTAAATGTGGTGCGGTTGATATTTAAGTCAGCTGTGCACATTATTAAGGGAGCAGAAACATCACTCCGCGCTTTTGTGGCACCACCTGCTGCATTTGCGAGGAAACCGCATGCCTAGTAAAGATTTTTGTTTTGGGTTAGATCTCGTAAATGTCTCGTTCAACCCGCCACCAGCACAACCCGACAGCCAATGAGTAAGAAGGTTTGTCACGCCAATAGAACGTGCCAATTCGTTACTTAGTTCAGCACACCGGTGTGTTGGTAGAATACAACCACATTGAGACAATTCGAGTACGACGTTTCGCCGGTGATTAGCAACCAGCTTCATCAGGCGATAGCCACAATTGTGAAGAAGTCTTCCATGTTTCGGTCTTAAATAGAGTAAGGATGACGTTTTAAACCGCATGCCTAAATGTGCGCAAGGAAAGACTTACACAGCTTCGCTGCCATCTCCGTGCAAAAAGGTAACGCACAGGTGGGCTGAAATAACATTTGATAAACAAAACACAAAAACTCATTAAAGATTCACCACCTCTCAATTACTGCCAAAATTCCACCACAAGGATACTCGGAAGAACGCGCCACGCGATGCGCGAGTGTGTACATCTGCCGTGGCTCTGACTCAACGAGGCAGCATCTCAAGGAATAATTTACCATTTACCCCATTCACCGACAACCACCGCCACCGTCCCCCATGCCACGTTTCCCCAGTCGCTGAGTACAAGGGCCCTATCGCCCTCGGCTATGCAGACACCCCCCCCCCCCATTCCCCCCACCGGAATGAATGGGGAAGTGGCAACACATAACTTGGCATGGATCCTGGCGAAAGAAATTAAATTATCCCCCCCCTACTCCCCTCTTTGTAATTTAGTGCCTGGGGGGCTCTGGTAACATTTGCACCGCTCGGACACACAAGTCCTGCCACCGCTGGTGGCATGGGGGGCAGGAGGGGGGGCCCATAGACGTCATCGCCAGCCCTGCTGACGCCTCGGCCGAATAAAACAATGAAAGCAGCGAGGGTCCATCCTCACCTGCCCGAGTCAGCAACGCTGCCTATTTTACGATTGCACACCGCAGATGCTATACACATAGCTGCAAGGTGGAAAACCTGGCATTGACATTTCTAAGAATGCTGCCCTGACGTCCACATCATTTCCAATTCCATGTGCATGAGCCAAGATGTATAAAACGAATATACATAACTTGTTTTCAGCGGATAGTAATTTGCCATCGTTTCTGACGCGCACGTCATCTGCCTATTTGTTTTCGGTTAACATCGGGCATAAAGTGTAATACTTTAAAACTCCTCGAATAGCAGACGTCTTAGCACTCTGCTGGCTTACAGGGAGACCTGGATAACAAGCATGAAAACACCCAACTTATTTTTTTAGATTATGCTAAATTGTAAAAAACTAGCAGATTGCCGAAATATACCATAGCGCATTTAACATGGATTAACTCAAAACATTACCTAAATATTCGAATCCACTTTCACAGTTTACTGTGTAGCTCGTGAAGACACGCTGTTTTCCCATCAGTTTGAAAATATCAACTTGTTGAACAAGGTGTGCCAGCATCCACGTTTTCCTCGACCAAGCCAAGCAAGTCCAAGGGAAGCCACTGGGAAACTTGGCAGCTCGGTCCAGGATATTGGCTTTGCCATTGACGTAATGCTCAAGTAATGGTGACGTGTGTAAACTGCAAAACGTAAATTATGAAGTCTAGGAATTATGAAGGGGGGGGGGGACAAAATTCTGAATTAACTGGACAAGCTATGACGGTTTAGGCAACAATGCCTTAAAATTGGGAAAACCGTTTCAGCTGAGCACGAGTCCTAAATTTTGTACGCAAGTGTTGGTGAATAACGGTGGTAAAGCCCCGTCAGGATGTTCATATACCACTGGCCAATGTAGTTTACAAAATGTTATTTGTAAGCGCTCCTAAACTGGCTCCACCCACGGTAAGCAACGACCACCCCACACTGCTCTTATCCCACTGCTGCCTTGTAGCAATTGGCGTGAGCAGGATGGCAGCGAACATCGCTAGCAGTTCAGTGTCAATTTCCCCACAGGCCCAACTTCCAGTGGTATACAAGGCAGTGGAAAACCAACACTGAAGGCACTTGTATACATCTCTAAACCCGGGGCAGCACGGTCCTGGGAGTGCAGTGTGGTGCAAAACAAATCCCTACCTGCCCATACCTACCTACCCACCCGGGCAAGCGTGGCCCTCACCCAGCGCTCCCCTCTTTGCTTGTGCGAAGCTTCGTCCAAGTGTTACGATCTCCCTCGCACAGGGCCGGCGGCGTCGCTCCACAGGACGAGCTCGACGCACTTACCGTGGCGTGCGGCGCGCACTGCAACAGGCAAGAGGTGCACAGATAGTGGCGGTAGAGACCAAGCCCCTGCACCACGGGCGCTCGAAACTGAAAGGAGGAACCCGTGGCCGCTGATTGAACGGATTCGTGCACATTACGTTGGTGGAGGGAGGCAGACCATGGCACCACCAGAGTCCTCTCAATCTTATATAACTATTGTATTCTGAGTGATGGTAGCACATGTTGTTTTATGCTGGCCGTGGTGGAAGTCTGGTGCTTTTTTTTGCGCAGGTAGAGATTTTAAACAGCACACACCACACTAGGTACTTGGGTACATCGAGCTTTGAAATATCTCACGAAAAATTAGAGCGCATTAGATTTAGTCGGGCTCGTGTCATGCCATGTGAATATCACACGCATACTGGATAAAATTCACTGCTCTACAGCAAATAAGGCAATTGCTCAAGGTTCGTTCATTATACTGGGTGTTTTCTGAAATGCGCGTCACGGACCACAGATTCGATCAAAAATAAATGTGTTAACTGTGCATACGGAACTATCTAATAGAGCATTGTTTGGTGTTCTCACTTGAAGAACACCGTGCACTTTAATGCCTGCAACACGAGGTTTTGCCCACCAGATTTGTTGAAAACACATTTCCCTTCCTTATCCGATACGTGCAACACACCAGGCCATCTTAAAAACAAAAATATTACAACGGGAAGTTGTTTGAAGACGCAGTTTAAAAATAAAAAGATTTATTCCCATGCGGTTCTGTTCCAAATTTTTGTTTGTTTTGTTAAATATAACCTTGCCTGGGAATGATGGCAGTAATCAAGCTAACACTTTGTGAAGACAGAAAACATTCGGGTTCATTTGACGTGGCCCATCAGTGTCAGCAGCTGCACCGGACATGCAATACGTCTTGTACACCTAAATAAAAAGGTAAAATTAACGACTATTTATACAGTAGATGCTCAAGTCACACTTCCATCTGAATTTCAAGTCTCAAATGGACAATCGGACCAAAACTCCTGCACTTAAAAAGGCCACCAGTTTGTACAGATCGTGTAAAAAAAACCGTGTTTTCATTTTTATTGACCCCTACAGTGAATCCTTTTCCACAAATAAAACAATATGTAAATGTTGAGCGTTGCAACTGAATTTTTTTTCTTCCTCCCAAAAGTCGGAAGGAGCTTGCTTGGAAAAGCGGGGTGCCATTAAAAACCCAGTCCTATCTTTTTAAAATCATTTGTGTGTTCGTCACGCCGAGCTCTCTGCAGCTGCCGCGTTGGGTGGATCAGGAGTGGTGGCTGGAGCCGTCTTTTCGCCGTCACCCTCTGGCTTGCACAGCGGAGGAGGACTGGGACCAGCCCTCTCATCAATGTCCGACGTCATGGCCACCGCATTAGCAGCGTTGGCAGGCGGCTGCTCCTGCACTCTATCTTGAGTCTTCTCTTGAGCCTGCTCCTGCTGCTTCTCTTGGGTATTCTCTTGCTGCTGCTGCTGTTGCTGCTGTTGCTGCTGTGGCTCTGGCTGCTGCTGCTGCTTTGGGGGCTGTTGCTCTTGTGGCATTGGCTGTGGTGTTGGCTCCGGGATAGGCAGCGATGCGGGCTCCTCCTTTCCCAGCACCGACTCCAAGCGAATGGCCGACTCCTGTTGGGGGACAGCAGGCGACTCTTGTGCGTCCCCGTTGGGCTGCAGCCGTCGTTCAGGGCTGCTGCTGGCAGTGGCGGCGACGATGGCGTCAGAGGGAGCCCGTGCCGCCTCCTCCTGGGGCGGCTCGGGATATGGGAGCATCCTCGGCCCGCGACGATCACGCTCTCTGGACCTGTCGCGCTCACGCGACCGCGACCTCTCCCGGTCGCGGTCGCGGCGAAATCCCGGCTCTCGGTCGCGGCTGAAATCGTCGCGGCTGCGCCCTCGCTGCTCCCACGGCCTCTCCCCGCCGCGCTCAAAACTGCCGCGGCGCTCGCGATCAAATCCGCCGCCTCTCCTCTCACGATCGAAGCCCCTGCCGCCCCACTCACGCCTCTCCTCGTCCCGCCCGCCAAAGCGGAAATTCCTCCCGCCGCCGCCGCCGCCGCCGCCGCCACCGCCGCCGAACCTTTCTGCGCGATCCTCATCAGAAACGTGTCTGCCCCTGTTCCCTCCGCCTCCCCGGAACCTGTGCCCAAAGCCCTGCTCCCGCTCATCACGGTCGCCCCGCCTCCCGTCACTACCCCGCTCTTCCTCCCTGGTGGACTCTGCAGCATGCATGAAGCGGTAGTCTCGGTCGCCCTCCTGCCCGCCCGACGACTCCTTCGAGAAACTTTCACTGGCGACGCTAGCCGCCGCCGCCCCACCACCACCACCACCACCCGTCCCTGTGCTCGAGGCGGCCGCGAAGCGCCGCTCAGGCGCAGGCAGCATCCTCGCTGGGGCCTCCTCCCCGTCCGCTCCCTCAGGAGGGAATGGGAACAGCGGTCTGGGCCCCAACAGCGACGGAAGACCCATGAGGGTGTGCGGACCACCCGGGAGGTTAGGACGTGCTAACAAAGCGGGCCGCAGCATGGCGGCCGGGAAACGCTGCATCAGAGGAATGGGCAGGATGCCCGGCCGGATGGCTTGCGGGAAAACTCCAGGCGGCAGTCGCTGCCCGGGAAGACCCAGGCCCAAGATGACGTTCTGTTGGCCCGGCGGGCCCAGCATGCGGGGCAGCATGTGCGGCAGCTGAGGCTGTTGCTGCTGTTGCTGCTGTTGCTGCGGTGGCGGAGGTGGCAGCATTGGCGCAGAGTCTTCGTCAGCGGTGGGCATAATGCCTGCACGTCCTGCCAGCATAGCCACGGCTGCTGCCGCCTCTTTGCTCAGCGTCCCCGCCTGCGGTCCGGGTGTCAGCATGCGCGGCATGCCGCCCCGCTGCTGCTGCCCATCCGACGAGGCCTCCCGGTCGCTATGGCTCTCCTGGCTGGCCGGCTTGATGGCTCCGGGCCCACCAGGGGTGTTCATACCAGGAAGACCCATCATGGGGACGCCCTGCATCATGTGTGCCGCTGTGAGATGGAAACAGAGAGACAGGGTGGTGAGTGAGGACCGTGCATAAGGGTGCACTCTTTCACGCTGCAGAGGAACCGACTCAACCTGGATCTCCCAAAGATCAAAAACATAATCTACTGCCGAGCACTGTTCCTGTATATAGCAATTATTTATGCATTAAACTGTGCAGTCTCAGAAGGTGTTCCATATGACGAAAAATCAAGAATTCCACAACAATGCCAGAGGGGGTAACCATCCAAAACGTTTGTATGGATGCACAACTTCTTTCACAATGTATTTATAGCAAACCGTGCTCATCTGAGGTGCGGAGAAAAGACATTGGAAATTCGCAGCAAGCACTCTGAAATTCGATGTAAATTATCAAAAAAAAGTTGCACACCTAGGGGCATGAGACAGCCTGGAGGTGGTCAAAGCCGAGCGAGAGGACGCAGAGGAGAGAAATGGTAACCGTCAGGAAATGGAGCTAATTGCAAAAATACAAGATTAGCACTAGCCCAACCTTGTTTTCAAGTTCACAAGCCAGCACAACAAATACCATTTGTTTAAGTACAAGAAATGTAATCGAAATGGGGACCGACACAGATATCGTGAATTCGAAACCATAGATTCCTGGATCTCTCTGTTCTACAGAATGGGATTAGTGGCAATTCCACAATGGCCAATGAAGGACACGCGTTTGGCAATTTCCGACATAAAAGACTGTCGATAATACAATTTTAATTATCCCACAATCGCCTTCCGTTCCAATTGCAATGCGATTGTAGGCAATGGATCATGGGAATCGCACAGATGAATACATGTGGCCAAGAATCCAAACATGCAAATCTGAAATGCCTAGGACTCATTCAGATTTTTTAATTAGCCAGTGTGGTTGAGTTGATGTTCCATATTATGTGCAAACTGTGCAATGAAGAAATATTTTGTTTAACTGATTAACCAATTTCTCTGAATTTTCAGACAGAGATGGCCAGGAGATAGCAAGGACAGCAATGTATTTAATCTACCTGTAAGAGCTTTGAATGTCATTCATTTTGTGTATGTGAACTCTGGGTACTTCCAATTTCCTCCCAAATGCTATTCATTAATATAACTAGCCAAACATCTCAGCGAGGCTTTACTGGATGCAATCTCATTGCAAGTATTGCCTCTTGAGGATGAGAATTGTGCCAGGCATTGACTCTACTGAGCCACAGTTGAAACCTATCGATGACACTTCACACCCGGAGATCGGTGTGGCGCAGGCCGTTGTTTGTGTTTGTTATTTCCTTGGACTCAATGATGTTGGGACCTCTCGTGGCCCCAGCGTCCCCTATGCATTTTTTGCAGCAGAGTTGTCTTTTACAGTGCATGTCCCCATTTCCAATGACGTTTAAAAAGCAGGACAAATAGCTCAACTACTTGAAATAAATTGTCTTATATTTTGTATTGAATATAACAGTGGCCGTGCACAGGTTAAACGCACACGACACAATGAACCTCGGCGACAGGGTCAATTTTCCGACCATGGCAGACATCGGTGGCGAGTGATATCTGAACCTGCCCTGCCCCCCCCCCATGACTTCCACTCCCACTGACCGCACCAGTGTTGTGCAGTGTGGTCAAACAACCCCCGTGACTGACACAGCACAAGAAGACCATCCTCCAGCACCGGATTGACAAAATGCTGTGAAATCATTTGTTTTCATTTAGTTTTGCAGTTTGCCCTGAGATGCAGTCGTATTTACGAGACTGAACATCAGGCCCTCTCTCTCTGCTCACCCTGTGCGGCCACCACCTGCGCCAACTGCGCCACCCAGTCTGGCGGCCCCCGTGGAGGGAGCCCCACCGTGCCCAGAGGCCGAGGCTCCGATGGCCGGATGCCAGTGAACACGGGGTTGTCGGGCATGCCGCTAGACGGCCCTGAGCCCGAGGAGGCCCCGGGTCCTCGGTGAGAGTCTTTGGAGACGTCTGCAGCGATCGATGGCGGCACAAGCTGGTGCGCTGCTGCAGCGCAGATGCAAACACAATTACTATTGTTGCCGCTTTAATCTGCGCCATACTTAAACGTTCATGTTTATGGTGACGATTGCGTGCAAAGGAAGTTGCAGCAAATAAAAAAAAATATTGGCTCGTGTTGTAGAAATATACCAAGCCTGTGTGTGTATCCCATCAGGGATTCACAGTATCAGTTCAAAGCTTCATTATTGAGAAGAAATGCTTAAAAGTTGCACTTTAGGGACAGTATCGTGACAACTCTCGCATAGTTTGAGTCAATACACTGACATCAACAAAGTGCTACAATGGAGTGTATGAGAGCATGCTTTTAAAGTTGTTCAACTGGCGTTGGGGACAGCTGGGGACAGAGAGATTAGGCGAATATCCACAAGGGCTCGGTTTATTTTGGGCTGCGTTTCCCTTTAGCGTTGATGGCGTTACTCACAGGGCTGCACTGGAGGCACTCCAGTCGGAGGCGGCACAGCTCCGGCAGTCAGAAAGCCTGGCACGCATGCAATCATAGCCACAGCACGTTTTAATAACAATAGAAAGCAGCTGACGTGATAGCAGATGTGTAAGGCTCATAATCTCGAACTCGCTTGAGTAAAAATAAGGTTATGCCTTAAGCGGCGGTGTTTAATTAATAGTAAAAAAAAATGCAACCCTACAACGATGACCTTTTTAAATTAACATACGTCTTGAAAATGCGCGGGCGAAAACGTCGAGTCCCGAAGGGCTCCCCCCGACATGAAAAGGTGCAAGCCCGATTCAAAAAGCCACACAGATGTGTGGCCACCGTGAGTTCTTTGACGAGCCCTGTACCTGGAGGAGGAGTGTTCTGGTTGAAGTGAGCCCGCAGGAACGGTGGTGGAGGGATCGCCGGGTTGAAAGGGGGCATTGTGTGCGCGAACGAGGGGGGCGGCTGCACCATCCGCACTGGCGGCATTGACATGCCTTGGCTTACTGGCACCTGCTACACACACACACACACACAAACACCCACACGGTCACACCTCGCCCACAGTCTCACCATGATCACAAACACAATGCAATGTTTAAAGTGTTTAGGGCGGCATGACAGCCCATCTCACAAGTTGCCAAATGTGCACTTTTGCCTGTCCGAGCTTTACCTGTGGGAGCAGAGTAGCCAGAGGTTTGGGCGTCTGCATGGGCTCAGCCTGCGTGGGTGTGGCCGGCTTGAAATCAGGGCTCTTGTCACCGCGGGGCTTCTTGTCACCTTCCTCTTCGGTGACCTTTGGCTTGTCCTCCCAGTCTATACTCGACGCACATGCACGGGAAGACGAAGACCATCGCACCGGTCAATTCCATGGGGGGGGGAGGGGGGAAGTGTTGTGAGCAAACAACCGCCATCATGGCGAAATGTTAACTCCCTTGCCTGGCATACACGAGGTCGTGGGTTCGATCCAGACCCCGATGCCTGTATATTTGGAGTTTGCATTTTCTCCCCATGCTGCTCTGAATTTTTCTCCTGGTCCTCCAGTTTTCCCACCCACATTTACAACCATGTGTTTAAGAGTATTTGGCTGCTATACATTTGCACATAAGCCACTTCATTGAGCTATCACTTGTGGCCAGGTCACTTCTGAAAAAGAGCTCAGTGGGCCTTAGCCAGTAAAATAAAAATTAGTAAAAAGTAAAAGCAGACAAGGCATACTGATGGGGTGGTGGTGAACCCAGTCTGACCGTCTTTGTCTCATTATTGCCAGTGCTGGCACACATCACAAGGACCATTCAATCCAGACCATGCAGGTCCACAAATTGACAGTTAATGATGTTCTAGCCAAAGATTCCGCCTGAACTTTGGTGGCTGGCTCAAGCGAAGCGCAATATAGCCACGAGATTGTAGCATTACCTCCGTAAGCATCTCACATAAAGGTGCCCAGGAGGTTCAAAGGCCTCACAAGTAGGAAACTGGGATCATCATGGAGCTCCTGAGTCTGAATCATGAAAGCTGCCCATGATAAAATTGGGTTCCCATTTGAAATGTAATTCGGAGGAAACAGCTTCGAAAATACCATACAAATCATTAATACCCACAATTGCCAATTTTTACAACAACGGATGAACTCTGTGTCCTTGGGTTGTACCAAGTGTTGTTCGGTATGTCCCATGTTTTGCTCCACTTGTTATTTAGGGACCGATTGGAGCTCGCTGAAATTCTCCCTCAATTAGCTCGTTTCTGGCTGCTACTGCTGCTGCTCAATGTAGGCCAGTCGCCGTGAGCGAAACGTCGGACAGGGACAAACTCCATCAGGCCCCGTGCTCAGAAACTGCGCTCCTTTAGACAAATAGTTACGCTACGAGCGCAATATAATCCTATCCACCGTTATTACTACGGCTACAGCGCTCCTGGATCGGCCCGGGAGCGCCAGATAATGTTGGAAACAGCCGGATAATCGATGATCATCTTCTTGGTTCTTTCGGTAAAGTCACGTAAGAAGGGAAGTAATAAAATAATAAAAATAAAACATAATAAAATAATTCTCACGACGTTTCGGCCACAACACAAGCAGCCGTCCTCAGGTGAAGACCAGGTCTGTCGAGGCGACAGCGTCTAAATGAAACACCACCACGCTTGGAGCGTCTATTTAAGCTGGTTTGGAAGGGGGGGAAAATGCGTCTCGACAAAATAATTTGCATATCAAGAGGAATTTAGCATATTTATGAGAAATGCAGGAATGCGACTAGTGCTACTTGTGAAATGCGTAGGAGGTGGGCAGGGGGTTTTCACCCCCCGTGCTACTTGTGAAATGCGTAAGAGGTGGGCGGGGGGTGGTGTTTCATTTAGACGCTGTCGCCTCGACAGACCTGTTCTTCACCTGAGGACGGCTGCTTGTGTTATGGCCGAAACGTCGTGAGAATTATTTTATTATGTTTTATTTTTATTATTTTATTTCTTCCCTTCTACGTGACTTTACCGAAAGAACCAAGAAGATGAATCCCTGCAGTCACGAAAGCTTTAAATCGAAATTTAATCGATGATCAACTGGATGAAAAGAACCTGTCCACCGACAACGCACCGGGGCACATGGTCTCCCCGTCGATGACGCCTCCGTCTGTGAAGAGGTTCAGGTGCTCCCGTTTGACGCGCTCCCACGGGATGTACGTGACGCCTGTCTCCACGTCCCAGTACTGCTTGTACTCAGACTTCACGCCCTTGTTGGGCGCCCATGCAATCTGCTGAAGTAGAACAGCGACAGTATCCCAGAGGGCATAAATTTGAGTGCGCGACAACAGTTTGGGCACAGGGGTTATTCGGCTGATAAAAAGTTAAAACTTTAGCCAGGGCTTGGCAAGAAAATACAATAGAAGATCAAAGGAACAAAATTGTCCGCGCTTGGTTTATGAATTAAATGAACTGGTTACAATGTTGTGCATTTCAACAGCCCTAATGTTAAAATTATTATCATGGAATTAATAACTAATTTTACAAAGCAGTCAGTAACATTTTAACACGTAGGCTTTCACGACCAATATTATCCATAAGAGGTTTTTGGGTTAGATCGCGTACGGTTTAGTCGCGTAAACAAAACATGACAATTCGTTACTTGCAAAGCACACCAGTATGCTGGAGAGTAAAACCACAATATTTACAATTAGAGTACGACGTTTCGCCAGTAATTACGGTAGCAACATCTACTTCACTAACTATATCCTCATCATATACGATAAATCCATTGCTGAATCAAGGCCTCCCCAACTCTCCAGAAGGGATGATGGCAGTGGTCGAGATTAATGACTGGAGCAAACACTGCAGCCTGCACGGAGATGGAGTCGTGAAATCAGCTTGTGTGCAGGTTCCCACATTTATACATCGCAGGACCAAACTTATATTTCATTCAAATGAGCCCTCAATTTCCCACAATAACAACACGTATTTGGCGAGGCCCAGCGCATATGTAGGATTCACAAAAGTTAAAGCAACATCCACGGTTATCAATTGGTGGCATACCTTGATGGACTTGGAGTTCATCTTGCCCTTGTTGAGCTTCTGTAGGGCACGTACAGCATCTGGCCGTTGGACCATGCACACGTAGGCACAGCCACGCGGAGGAATCATCTGAAAGTGTGACACAGCACACAGGGTCAGCGTCATCCCATTTAGTGTGCCTGTGGCCAACATTTCAGACACACTGCACACACGGAATGCACCATATTCTCCAAATTCAAGAGGTCCCAAAAAGCATCATCGCAAGCATTGCCGTTAAAGAGTCCAGTTCTTCTTTACAATGCACAACAGGAATCTCGTGGTCAACCGTGAACAGTCGCGCCTAAGGCGCGTGATCGGCGAAATTCAGGAAACCCCCGCTATAAGTTGCCGCGTAATATTTATTTCTCGTAAATAGGTTGCCGATCGATTAGGAAACATTTCCTAATAAGCGTAATGTTTCGCAAATGCATTCCTTTAAAAAATGTCGTGAAGAACTTTTCACAATTTTTTCACCAGGAATGTATGCGGTTAAAATTAACTATTTTGCGATGTGATACCGTACAGGACAGGATTACATCCGCCACATGGTGGTTTGGCTTCCGTCCAATGGGTTGTAATTAATTGCTATGGAGAACAGTCTTCAGAAAGATAAACGCATCTCGTAACTCAACCCCGAAGCTGTCCCACCCACACCGGCTGAAAGGCTGGTCTGATAAAAACCAGTGCACGCTTTACTCATCTTGCCACCCCGATTACTAAATGTAATCTCACTCGAAGCCTCTGCCGTGTTATAGCCGAACGCCCAGTGGGGAAAACGGCACGAGCACTCACGTTTATCGACTCAATCTGGCCATACTCCTCAAAGAGGTTGAGGATATCCTGCTGATTTGTTCGCTTGTCGATCTGGCCCAGCCACAGTGTGGTGCTGCAGACTGAACAGGGGATGGGTGGACAACACGAAACATCACATGGACATGAAGCATTAGACAGTAAAAGAAAGTGAGCATAATTACGTTTCTTTGGGTTAGATCGCTTAAGTATAAATGTCGAAACCCACCTCCCGCCACAGCCAGTAAGGTTTGCCACAAACAAAACGTGTCATTTAGTTATTCCTTTAGCCCACCGGTGTGTGGGAGAGTAAATCCACAACATTTACAATTTGAGTATAACGTTTTGTTGGTAATTACATTCAGCGTCATCGGGCGATTTGGCAGAATTGTGAGCAACATCCTTAGTCAGAGTATAATGGCACACGCGCACATTCTGCATTCTAACATTGGATCGCTAGTTATAAGTTAATTTCAAGATGTTCATTTTAATACATATATGTAAGAAATGGCAGCTGAAAATAAAGTACATTAAATGTTGGTTTTCCCAATATGAACAATGAAAGATCAATCCTTAAAAGGAATCATTGGTTATACTCGGCATGTAATGCTTTGATTAAAAAATACATTTTAATGCTGATGCATTCATTTTAAACGCTTGTAAGAAGTAATCATTTACAACTTATGTAAATTGCATATTCTAACTTCAAGTCAAAGCAAAATACGGTTACGTATGTTACTTCTTTCGCACCGTACGTAGCCAACCGCGCTCATTGGGTATGGGATAAAAATAAAAAACGAGGCAAAAACAATGATTGAATCAAACCGCGATGCCGATTCGTGACAAATACTGAAACCTCGCACACACGCACGCACGGAGGGGGCATTGTCACAAGCGCACGCCCCACACAACTTACCGCTGAGCGCGTTGGGTCTCATCGGCGGGAAGCCCTTCTTCTCAGCGCTCCCTCTCGTGCTCCCTCTCCCGCTCGCGCTCGCGTTCCCGCTCCTTCTCCCGCTCGCGCTCACGTTCCCTCTCGTGCCTCTCCCGCTGACAACGAGCGTGACGCGCGCCGGCGCCGGTCGCGTGATCGCTGAGCGCGAACGCCGCCGGTACTTCCGCTTGCGCGAGCCGGACCGTGATCGGGAACGGAAGCGACGCGGGGACCTGCGTGCACACAGGGAGGCACCGTCAACCTTTGAAAATGGAAACACTGAGGTGGACGTTGGTGGAAAAAGAACTTTACAACTCAGTCCGATTCCAGTATAAATAAACATTCTGATGTGTCCACGTGGCTCACAAGCCTTAAGCGCTGAGCTGGCACGGCTGAGGCTTCTGGTTTTGAGTCCCAAGTTTCAACCACCTGTGATTAAACTGGATTCTGAAGTGCATTGGTCATCAATGCCTGGTTCTGCACTCAATCTAACTAATTTCCAGCTATGAGAATTAAAAGTATACTTTATGACTCTCAAGCAACTAACGTTATTCTCTGATTATTCTCTGCAGCAGAGCAAATATAAACAGTGCTTCTCCTTACCGAGTGGCACAGAAGTCACTTTAAGGGACCTCGGAGGTAAACCTGCGATAGCTGCTTCTGTGGGTCCTTCCTCTCACGTGAAAAGTTGCACCGCTCTGCGAACTATCTGAATGGATTCTTTGACTTGATCTTGGTAACAAAATCCAGATAAAATCTGTGAGACGGCCCAGCTCGCTACAATTGCTTCAGGGGGGTGTGTTTTGCCAAAGGCCTAGGAGACTGCAAACCTGCGGATCTGGAGCCGCATGCGTATCTTTAAGGACTGCTTCGTGACGTCATTTATTAAGGGACAATTTTGATATTCATATGCAATTCGGCTCTTAAAATGTAGAGTTATTTGAACGAATCTAAAAAAAGTCTCGTCTTGTTTTTTTTGTTCCTGACCCTTGGCCTAGGCCATCAGAAAAAAACCTTTAACTTGTCCATTGCTGGATGAGGTCACTATTCTCTATTCGGAGTTCAACATAATCCTTAAAAATTCTGTCAATCCAGTTGGCTCTGTCTCCCCTTTGGCGAGTCGCCTGTGCATTGCCCTGCCCTCCTCCTGTGCGCCACCCAGCCCCACCTGCTGGAGCGTGTTGGTGAGCGGGATCGTTGGCCGTGACGATAGTCCATCATGGCCGGATCCTCCTGCTGCTCAATCTCCATGTCCATGTCCATCTCCACCTCGGCACTCTGGTGTGCGATCACGGGAACATAAAAAGCAAAAGGCAAAAACATCAATATTGCAAGACTAAAAAACGAGGTATTTAACAGTAATGAAACTAAACAGTGAAAATGTAACATGAACAGTAGGTGCCAGAGAGTTAGGTACACGTATGAGTAAGCTCTATATTTTTGGTCAGTGACAATCACACAAGATTCGAAAAAGGCAATGCAAACGTGTGGGAGCAAGAGGCGACAAAAAAAATGCAGGTGCAAGTAAGTTGTGTTTTGGAGAAGCTAGCACCACAGGCCTGTGTTAACGTGAGCGTGCTGTGCGAACGAGACCTGCTCTGTGGGCGGAGGGTAATCGGGCTGAGGCACCGGGGGTGGCATGAAGGGCTGCCCGTATTGGCCGAATGGAGGAGGGACGCCCTGGGGAGGCATGAACATCTGCTGGTGGTGTTCCACGCCACCCATCTGTTGGTGCTGTTGATGCTGCTGCTGTTGATGCTGCTGCTGATGTTGCTGCTGCTGTTGCTGCTGCTGGTGCTGCTGTTGATGCTGCTGCTGTTGGTGCTGCTGTTGATGCTGCTGCTGGTGCTGTTGGTGCTGCTGCTGCTGCTGTTGGTGCTGCTGTTGCTGCTGCTGCTTCAGAACACAAAAGCAAGCGAAGACAATAACATAAATGAAGATGACACCTTCACCTATAATAACATGGTGGTTTACCGACAAATTTATATGGTGCTGTTAAACATTTAAATTAGAGGTTCATCACTAGGCCGCAAGAGTACAAGTCACAGTAACTTTTTTTCCACAGCTTAATTCCATATAACCTCAGTAGTTTAAGTTGTATTGCCTTGGGCCATGTACAACTTGCCAAAGATAATGCAATGTCAATACAGATGAAAAATTCTTGACCGACATCAACTAACATCATACCACTCATCTGTATGAACCTGGTTTTGCAGAGAACCAAAAACCAGCCCAATTAATACAAATGGTGAATTAAACTACAATTCAGCCCAAGGACCAACAAGAGGTCTCGAAGAACAAGACAAACAACCAAACTCGTTGATAAGGTAACCTCAGAGCAGCCAGTGAAAAGTCCACAAGATAAAATAAACCAAGACATGTTTATTGCAGCATGTTCAGAATGTGGCTGCTTGGGTGGTAACCAGAATACCTTATTCACATCATACTACACCCACGTTGGCCTCCCTGCACTTCCAATTTCACATAGAATAGTTTAAATCCTATTGTTAACTTAACAAAGCAGTTAACCATCTTGCCCCAGCCTACATCATTGACATGCTGCACACCCCCATGTCCCCTCAAGGTTCCCAAGATCTGGGGATGCAGATCTTCTCTGCAGGTCGAGGCTTCGGTCTATGAGTGACCGAGCTTTTTCCTGTGTAGCCATCAGACTATGGAATGCTCTTCCACAAGATCAGGATATCAAGAGTCTGGAAATTTTAAAAAAGCGTCTTAAACCCGATTTATACGCTTCCGCTTATAAAAATTTTAGTTGACGGAGTAAATGGATTCTTAAAATGTATCTATAATATAAAAAAATTATTCTGAGTGTCTGTTGGTCCATCCTGTACAGCGCTTTGAGATCCTTGATGAAAAGCGCTACATAAATGGAATTATTGTCTAAATTGCCGAGATAAAGCGCAGTTGCGCTGGAATGGTGAATAGGATGGGGTCTGTGCGCCCCTGTGATTGTACACAGAACTGCATTTCTTGAGGTCGGGCGGCCAGACTCACTCGCTGCTGGATCTGCTGCTGGAAGTGCTCCTCCTGCTGCTCCAGGTAACGCTGCCGAAACTCCTCCATGCTGGGGGGAACCGGTGGCTGCTCAGCACGCTCACAATGGTAACCCCTATGAAGGCAGCCACGCAAACATGCGGAAAGACACATCAACCACCTCAAAACACGACAAGGAGTAAAAGATATTTTTTTGTTTTTACCCAAAATGTTTCGAGTCCTTGGGATAAAGACAATTTTTGATCTCCAACTCTCATCGAGAAGTGTTTGAGAACGGCCCATGGTAATTGCTGTTACACGTGTGCAGTAATTTCTACAGGCGCTGAGGCCTTGTTAGCTACATATTCGAAATTCTCTAAAAAGAGTAGTGGTTTGCGAAAAAGGTCAAATAAGGTGTTCCCATATGAAGGGGCCTAGAATACATTTTCAGTCGGCAATAGTAATCTCATCATTGACGCCATGTATATTACTTCACTGGTGAGTGAGGTTACAAGGACCTTATCAGTGCACCTGTAGCCACAATGAAGGCGGTGTGTGGTGGAGTGACTTACGTCGACTGTGGCTCGGGCTTCTCTTCCGTAGCTTCCGGTTCATCATCATAATCAAACCGATCCAACAGTTTCTGTGGGAGAGACGCATTCAACCATGGTTGTTGGAGACATTCTTTTTGAACACGGCACCAAAAATTGCAAAACACAATGACACGCACAAAACTACTCCGCTTCCCCACCATCACTGCGAAGCAACCAGACCCACAAGCACAAATCAAAGCTTTCCCTGAAAGCACAAACATAACCACAGCCACCATCGCGCAAGAGTAACCTTGTTGAAGGAGGAGTCGTGATCAGGCTGCCCTGGTTGGGCACTCTGCTGCTGCTGCTGCTGTTGTTGCTGCTGCTGCTGCTGCTGTTGTTGCTGCTGATGCTGTTGATGCTGCTGATGCTGCTGCAGCGAAGGAGGCTGTGCAGCAGGTGGCTGTGCATTCTGCGATGCATTCTGCTGCACACCGGTCTTGGTGGAGCCGACGGCTGCGGCGGCTGTGAGCTGCGCAGTGAGCGCTTGCACCTGCGCCACCAGGTTGGCGTCCAACGTCGGTGCAAGCGGCAGCTGCTGCTTTTGTTGGAGGCTCTGAAGCAGCTGTGGGGGTAGGAGTACAATCGACAAGTGGAATAGAAACGGCTCAGGTGGAATTCCAAAGTCTATAAAACTAAGATAATTTAATTTTTCCAGGTAAGGCCCATAAGCCCGTATAGGTCTTTTCAGAAGCCACCTGGCCACAAATGATAGTGCAACTAAGTGGCTTATCATGTGGACATTTTTATCGCAGTAAAACTCTAAATGCACAATTCTAAACGTGGGGGGTTAAAACCGGTGGACGCGGAGAAAAATCCACACGACCACGAGGAGAGACACGCAGACTCAAAATATACAAGCGCCACAGTCAGGACCGAACTTATGACCTCCTGTATACCAGGTGAAGTAGTTTACATCTCGCCATTGCGAGGTCCCTTAAGTCTAAACTCGGAAAACGAAAATTAGTCAGTTGCGTGGACAACTATGGGAAGGATGCTCCAAACAAAACATGTTGGAGTAAAGAATCTTCAATGTAGACATCTGTTTACACAAAGGGTTGGACTGTGGTCACCCGAGTCTGACCACGAAACATCCCGCAAACGATTTGCATAAACCATTACAAGCATCTTAGCTGCAACAATCAGGTACTACTAGGGGGGTGTGAATATTTTAAATATGGAACCAATGTTTTTCAAATGTAAGCCATGCTCAGTCACTTTTTCTTTCAAGCAGTTTAAATCAGGCTCGATGCATACATCCCTAGGACGCAACCTTGGTTTAGGGTCAACTGTTGTATAGCACGCCAAAAGGTCCCTCAAAGTTCTATTTTCGCTCTCCGTAAGAGAAGGGGTTCCCCCACGCCTGGTTTACACATTGTGGAGGCCAAGACTGTGGTATTCGTGTCAAGGCCACACCTGCTGGCTCTGCGAGCTCTGCAGGAGCTGTGCGACGGCGGCGATAGCGTCCGCGTTGGGCATCTGCTGCGTGACGCCCCAGTGGTCTGCGGCGGCGGGCGGCGCGGCCTGCTGGGGTGTGGCGGGGGAGTTCGGCGTGGCCGGCGTGATCGCCGCCGCCTGCTGCTGGGCCGAGGGGCCCGAGGAGACAGCCGCGGGGTGTGGGATGCCGGCCGCCATGTCTAGCAGCGGCTGGATGATCTCGCTGCCGAAGACGTTGTTCTTCTGCCACAGGTTGAGCACGCGCACGATCCTGCTCTGCTCTCGTGCGCACCACCAAAATAGGATCCGTCGATGAGGCGGAGGACGCACCAATGCAAAAGGGGCACCGCGAACAAGCATTTTTATAGCAAGACAAATTCGCAACTCCACCCCTAACTACCGACTACGCGATTACATTGATACTCACAAGAGGCACAAACATTCTCCTTGCAAACTGAATAAACAATTGCTCTTATGAGATACCATTGTTTCTCGACACAGCTTTTGACTTGCATCACAAAAGCATTGATGCTTGAATTAGCAGTTGGATCTCTTAGCACATGTAACCTCCATGAAAAGACACATCACTTCACAAAGTGAGCTAGCCATAAAAACTTTTAAAGTTGATCAGTTCTTAAAGGAAGGTTCTGCAAGTTCCGGTACTGATTCCAGTCATACCTTGTCATCAGATGGACACCGGTAAAGGTTCTGGAAGGTGTTGGTGAGATTCTTGGCGAAGCGTGGAGCGAACACGTCACGCTCCATGCCGAACTGGTGGCGGGACTGCCGAACTATTGAGTCTATTACGTACAGGCCCGGGACCTTGTACTCCGGTTTGCACTGTGGTAAAACAAGAGGGAAATTATGAAGACATCGTCTCAAGAACCAGCACAGTATAAATTATACATCACACCTGTATGAAGTAGTGTATACATCACTTCATTTAACCGTTCACTTACCTTCTGTATAAACTTTTCCACACTCTGCACAACGTGCTTGTAAAGCTGGACAAAAAAAACCAAAATATTCAGGTTATATCACGGACTTCTGTCGCACTCACAAGCACAATAGAAAACGTGCAATTAAATTAAAGGGAACGGCATTCAACTAAAAACGCAACTTAGAATGTTCGCAAGTGCAGATGCCACTACACAACTGGGTAGCTTCATATTGACAGGGTGACAGTCAATAAACTTACTCTTATTAAGTCTACAAATAGCTATAGAATTCCACCTCTAGCAGGCCAAGTCAAACATCTACACTGCATTATTACTTTTCAGCGCGACTCATACATGAACGTGTGAATGTGGAGGATGTCACTGCAGTAGTACTACTGAATAGGTTGTTGTGGTTGTGCTGTATATCTCTCCGATGTTTTGATTGTAGTGTACTTTGTTGTTTTGTGTGCAGTCTGATGCTTCTTTCTATGTGCTGCATGTGTTGGGAGCTTCCTCAGAAGTTCAGTGCCTGAAGAAGCTCTAATTACATCGAGCGAAACGTCAGACATCATGCAAAGCGTGGTGCAACCCAGAAATACATCGGATAGTTGTCACCGCTGTAGATCGGAGGTTGGGCTTACCTTGATGGCTTTGATGGCCGACTTGGTGAGCTGTGTCATCTTTGCACGAGAGATGGGAGGCTTTGACTCGTATAACGAGGTCAGCTGAGGCAACAAAAAATGTACATTGTTAAGTATGAACATAAAATCAAAAGAACTTTCATGTGCAAACATAAAATAAAAGTCATGTCCATCAGCCTGTGTGCTTTCTAGAGACAACCACTACATTACGGTCCATGCATTTGTATGTGGTGACGTACAGCACACAAACGCCAGTTTTATATCGTCAAACAGCACAGCACATACTCTCGAGGTTTAAAAACATCAGCCCTCGTCTATCCAACGATGAAGACCTCCCCACGCCAACACAATCCTTCAATCCTGCAATGCCACCATTCATCTCACTGTTGCACATGAAGCTATCATCACTCCAATCTCCACCGTGGTTATCTCTTAGATGCCCCTTCTCTCCTCAGTCTTCCTTCAAGCCACGTGTTCTATACAAGATGTGCAACGTCTGAGCCAGCTCCAACAACTGAATTCCACGACCCAACTGAAACGGTCGCTCCACAATGCACATTGAAGTCACGAAACCCCTTGGTGCAATATCAGGAGCTCTTCCCATCTTCCATCAGCTCGTTGCTCTATGCTACTGAATCTGGGACCCGTGCTGGAGTACTGACGAGTTTCTGTAGACTCCACTACGCCATCCTCACATCTTAATAAGCCGGTCGACTGGGAAATGCAGCAACGGTAGCCCAGTGTGCAGCTGAAACTGGACAACAATAACCATGTATGGGGAAAGATACGGTTCAGTAGATAGGAATATAAATTGGTTAAGAGTATCTTCCAGTTCAGAAGTATGTTGCACTAAAGTACTTTCATGGGACGCAGTGGTAGAATGCAATGATGTTGAAGAAACGTGTTTTGAGGAGCTGCAATGTGACCCCTCCTGGTCTTAAAAGCCGACATCAATAAGGTCCCATCAATCGTCACCAAAGACAGTCCATGTGACCCCTGAGTGTGGACGTGAACATCAGGAATGAGACCCACGTCCATGCTCTTTGAAGCAGACTATTGATACGAAGTTAGATGACCCCATCTATGTTCAGAACAAAAATGAATGAGTCCTCCATACTCTGGTTAAAAACGTGGTCATTGCCGGCCAGTTCGTGGATATTTAAACCAGGACCTGAACGAGACGCTAAATTTACACTTTAATCAATGGAATTATAAGGCACCAGACAATATAATCCTCGTCCCTGGCCACGCGATCCACATCAGAGATGGAGGAAGTTACCGAGACGTGGTCCTTGACCATCAAGGTAGGCAATGGAGGGCTGGTTTGAAGGCCATGCTCCCTGCATTAATTCCACACAGACCCAGTCCCTGGTCTTCGGATAAGGAAGAGATCCATGTCTCTAGAACCTCTATGGAACGGCACCCGCCCCCGTGATACGCGAATAAAACAAATTACTCGAGACACTTGACTGGCATGGCAGGAAATGCAGTTCATGCGAATGCTGTCGCGAGAGGTCACACGTTTGCTGGCTGTTCGTGACGATCGAGACCACGAATTCTCGTAAATGCCCTCCTCCCAGGCACTTCAATGAAACGAAACTGAATTCTGACCCGAACTCAAGTTCCCAATTTCCCCGCCCATTCTTCTCCCGCCAGACCCCGCTAGAGCCTGATTACCTCCAACTTCTCACCACCACGAAAGGGAGACCCTCCTTCCTAAACCTCCTCGCCTGGAAGATGCTTGTCACACACACACAACCAACCAGACCTGTATGCCCAGATCCCTCACATGGGGAGAGAAAGTCTCATCCACACAACCTGGACATCGATCACCGCGTAGACCCTAGATATCGCCAGCGATACTCCTTCTCTCATACTCTAATCCCAGTCCCCTGGTCCCCTCGTCTGAAACTCATTCCATGACCAGAACTCCTCTCTGCATACCCTCAGGGCTACTCACGTGGGAGAGCTCATTCCGCAGACCACAAACTCACCAATGCCATTTTGCAACTCAAAATACGCACACCGCCTATTCCCCCGTGCCCTTAGCGCCACCACCACGAGAAAACTCCGCACGTGTCGAGACCTCGCAAGGTTGAGAGCGAGAAAGAGAGAGGCCTCCCCCTCATCAACCCCCAGAGAGCGGCCACCACCACCACCACCACCCAGCACGTCGCGACCTCCAGCCCAGCCGAGGCCCAAGGCATAGGGCCTAGCCCAGCCGAGGCCCCAAACCCAGCCAAGCCCCAAGCCCAGCCGAGAGGCCCCAAGCCCAGCCCAGCAACCCAGCCCAGCCGAGGCACCCAGCCCAACCCCCAGCCCAGCCGAGGCCCAAGGCACAGGGCCTAACCACCGCGCACACCTCTTTGTTGAAGTATTTGACGGCCTCCATGGCGCCCACGCTCACCACCACCACCACCACTGCCGGGCGCTCGGGGAAAATAAAATAAAACCCCCTTCCCGTGGGCGAAACCGACTGAGCTCGCGGGTGTAGGTGGGCGGGAGGAGGCCGCAGGCTGCAGGGACAGTGAGGAGGAGGAGGGGTGGTGGGTGGTGGGGGGTGCGGAGCTGCGGGGCGAGCGGAGCTCGAGGCCCGACCGCGCCGACAGCGAGGCGCCCCACAATATGGCGGCCAGGGGGGGGAGGCCCGTTTAGATTTCCCAGCGCGCATAAGCGCCCCGCCGAGCCCCGTGATTGGCTTAGCGGTGGTCACGCTGTGTAGGGTGGGGGGTGGGGGGGGGAGCTATTGGCCAATGGGAAGGGGAGGCGTGGGCTGTGACGTAGGAAGTGGGGAGGGGGGGGCCCGGGTGTGAAGCGCGCGCACGTGAGAGGGTTGGGGGCGGAGGGTGGGGGCGGTGGGGGGGGGAGCTCGTGACCACGTGACGGCGGAGAAGACCAACGGGCGCGCGCGTGCGCAGTGGGAAATGTGGACAGCGCCGGACGCGCGCTCCTATTGGACGAGCGAGCGGCACTTGACGGTTTGAACGCTGCGGGGGGCGGGGCGAACGCGCGAATCGATTCGTTTGTGAATCGATTCGTTTGCGAGTCGATGCATCGATTACCGAGTCGGTATGATGGAGCGGCACTTGACGGTTTGAACGCTGGGGGGCGGGGCGAACGCGCGAATCGATTCGTTTGCGAGTCGATTCCTTTGCGAGTCGATGCATCGATTACCGAGTCGATACGATGGAACCAGTGCCATTGAAATCAGGGGAGGGGGGTTGCAATGGGTTGTTTTCTAGATTCATCGAATCATAAGATTAATGTTTACTGGAGGAATGCGAAGAGCTCTAAAGCCAATTTTTTTTTCCACAGATGACCAGTAGGGGCACGGAGTCACAACGTTACATAACAGCAAACAAAAAAAAAACACCGAAAGGCATGCAAAGTATGTGAAAGTGAAGCAACTCACACGACAAAAAACAAATAAAATTAAACTATATTTTAATTTCATCAGGTAAAGCAGTCGTGTTCCGGGACAATGACGTAATAACACTTATTTCACACGTAGCCCCCCACCCCCCGAACTAAACCGGATTACATCTGACAGCATGTCAAAGCGCAGAGCCCCCCCCCCCACCACCACGCGGGGCCCGGGGCGAACGCCCGGATTCGCCATCGCCTCGGGATGGCTGTGGTGGTGCTTAACAATAATACACACGCAAAATGAACATTACATAATTCTTCCTAACTCATGGATGTATTTGTTCACACAAGGTGATATTTTCCGACACTCACAATTTCACGATATTCGACAACTCGCTTTGTTTTGCCTGCTGCCAGTTGACAAATTCGAGAATGCTTACATACGAGTGCAATAATCGCCATAAATATATTTGAGGTTTTCCTTTACAGCGAAAGCCTTAGTTGCAAGACTCCCAAGAAGGTTCTGCAATGGGCATTAACCCAATTCCATAAGTGGAAGGCAGAGTACCTGCTGTAGAAACCCCATTTGTAGACAAAAGCTCATTAGAGTGTCATTAATGTCCTTTACGTGTTTCTTAACTGAAATTCCAGTTGTACTATGATCAGTCGAAGCAGATATGCTACAGGGAACGTATAACCTCACGTGCGCAGTATTTTTGATTTCTTGCGACACGCTTTTGTCACAATTGCTATTGCCCTCCTTTATAAGATTGTTTTGCCTTGTCACTTTGGTGACCCGGGTTACTCTCGCAAAGGAAACGACCCTGGGTCTCTTGACTTCTCACCTGGTTAAACAAAATAAACATGAATGGAAGGATACAAGAACGGGAGTTCTCGCTCCATCCACCAGCCCAAGTACACCAATGCGCATTTTCCACTGACGCATCCCAAGCCACACTGGACCGTGCCGAGCCAGGCGCTTGATGGGTCGTGAAGGCAGCAAGGACGTTTTGATAGCCAGAGAATCCCAACTAATCAGCCGAGGGAACATGCAGTGTGTAACTTAGAGACGTGTCGATGACACGGTGATGTTATCGTGTCCTCATAGTGGGTTTGACTTGACGTCAGACGCATTTAAAACGTCATTAAGCCTAGATCTTTGCCTGGCTTGGCCCAGACATGTCTTGCGAAAACAGCAGCATATCACCGGTCGGTCAAGGCTCCACGTGGCAGCTTTATGGAGGAAGACCACTGGTATTGCTGAGGTCCCGATTTGGCATGGCTCGGATATGGGAAGGGGTATGTTTTGCATGATCAAGTGTCAAAAAACATGGGAGGTAAGATCCAACCACTTTAAAATACTGAGTACTACTGACAAGCCATGCGATTCAAACACTGCGGTAGTTTAATGTTTCAATTATGTTTTCTTGGAGCTTAAATTCACACTTAATGTCAGTCATGTTTTTTTAACAAGCAGAAGTCCCATGCAGAAACGTTATTCGGCAAGTCCTCTATTTACGTTGTTTCGCAATTAACGTCTCAACGAATTGGGGAATGCAATTAGATTTGAAAATGAATTCATAAACTTGTTTTGAAAATTGTTACGCAACCGCTGTCACACCAAGCGTCTCGGTGTTGACATCGCAACTGTACTGGAAACTATCCTGTGTCCATTACCCTCTCTAAATGCACTCTCCACCGCCATCTCTGGTATGAAGATTTAAACTCTATGTTTTGGACATGATGCTTATTTAATGTTGTTTCTGCAAGTTCTAACCAAAAATATTACACGTCGGAACGTATCCGAAATTTAAATCATTAATGGTAAAATAGGATTCCATTTACGTTTTTCCCTAACGTAATTAGAGGACTTACTGTATTTCGGCCCTTTTTATCAGATAAATATCATTGTTCTTTTGATACAAAAGACATTCAATTGCATACAAATGTCACCAGTAATAAACAAACCCATCCCAGTTAAAAAAACATATCTTGACCTGATAATTTTTGACAAAATTATTACTTTTGGAACATATGCAAATCCATGTGCATGTGTTTAGAATATTGCAAATAATAAAAATGTCATTAAACATCAGTGTTCACAATAAGACTTAACAAAAGCATTTTGAAATATATTTGCTGTACATTTCATACTTATGCAAACATTACTTATTAGCGTGCAAATAATAGAATTCAAGCCAAACTATTTTGAGTTAAACAAATATAGGCACCTGTATGTGTACACCTCGACAACTGAACCCTACTCATTCACAAAACTGCTCCAAATCTCGATAAATACACAACACACTGTTTAATGGCCTATACATTACTTTAAAATATATATGGAAATGTAATGGGTTGATGGTATCGACATAAGCTTCAGATTGAATTCTACTTTTAATAATAATTAGACATTTGTCAATCTCTTGCTGGATGGACTTCCCACATCATGGTCATGGTGTTGGTTGACCATACTTAACCACAATGGTCAGTGTGGGTTCGTGAAGGAGTCGCACAAAACCAGTTCAGATATCACCCTCCTCTGATGCTAGCCATGGACAAGAATCAAAGGTCACCAGGTTCACAGTGTATTGCGCTAACCTCTGCTCCAACACTTCATATTAAAACACGGTTTGCAAAAAAATGTGCTTTTAAACTGAAGACTATATCTTCTCCTGCTCAGGTTTTCACGGTTGTGCTGTAGCACTCTGGAATGTTTTTGGGCTGTACCACATGGTTTGGCATCACGTCCGACGAAGCTCCAAGCACATGTAGCAAAAAATTGGACATCACGCCAATCAAAATCAGTACAACCCTAAAAAATATCAGTATGTGAAGTGACTGAACTTGTGAACTTGTTAAGTGGAGTGGCCATTTATTTCCAGTGCAAACAGCACACATTACATACTGATGGCTCATGTCAGGAGATGAACACAGTTTGAAAACATCAATGCAGCCTTGATTTCACTTAAAACCACATCACCCCCAGCCATCGCTCCTCAAATAACTTGGTGCATGTTGACTGCAGACCCAACGCCGGACCTGAGCTGCATTGCTTTGAAGCATCACGTGCAGAGGTCAGAGTTCGCCTGGGCTAGTGGGGATCACTTATTATATTTGGCAAAGGGATGTTAGTGTGAGCAAAGCTCTTCGTAAACATGTTCAGACTTTGTTACAGGTGTGTGAATTTGCTGTTGAGCAGTATGTGGCATTAACACCAGTTCTATATATCGTGAGAAACAGTGAGCAGCTTGTAGGGGTGGTGACATTAACAATGTTTTTGTTTTGTTTACTTAAATATGCCAAGCTAATTCCTTAAAGTAAGCCCTCATACTTGTCCATATTAGGATTTCCAGAAGTTTGGATTTTGCAGTAGCCGCCTCTGGAAGTTTTCGTACCTGAAACAAAAAAACAAGCAGTCTCATTAAAACCAAAACCAGCGAACTCATGACACTAGCCACACTTAGGTTTGTAAAAAAAAAAGACAAACACTGCAAACATTTTTTCACCCCTCTGCTTAACTTCGAATAGCTTTTCGCAGGTTGAATTATATCTCTCCTGAAATACATCGAAGAGCTATATAAGAGGTCAAATAATTTGCACGGAAATGAAAGACTGTCAAAGCGAGCCACTTTATGAGCAATTAGCTTTAGTTACCACTTCTTCAGGACAGAGGACGGGATGAAGGTTTCTGACACGTTGGGCACCATCTGTGTCTGGCTCACTGCAAACGATGAAGTGTAGTTGAAGAAGCTCTCGAGCATTTTCTGCGTGAACTGTAGGGGAATAGGGAACGCAGCAGAGATGTGTTGCGGACCATGGAGGCTATGCAAAGAAAACACTGGAAGACTCCTCACTGGCACAAGCACAACACTGCTATGAAACAAAGTGTGCCAGTGGAAAACTTTCACCCTCCCTGCCTTAAAGGAAATCAGTGTCAGGTCAAAGTGTTGTAAGCAATGAAAGTGAAATAGGCTTGGGTTAAGTCCTAACACAGAAGTTAGGGTTAATGATTTGGGTCTGGGGCTGGTTTAGTTTGGTTATGGCTATAGCTGGGATGAGGATTTGATTGGCTAGTGTGTTTCTCTCAGCTCTGCTTAGCTTCTGACATTCAGTAATATTAGGTACATTCAAGGTAATATTACTGCACAGGTTTTTGCAGATATGCTGTGTGGCTCTCCGACGTGTCTTAGGGTTGTACTGCATACGACATGATGTACGATGTTTCGGTCGCAATGCTGGGAGGCCTTCAGTTCCTGAAGAAGCTCAGAGCACGGGGAGTGAAACTTTCAAACATCAAGTCACGTAACAGGCGGTAACAACCTGAAAACAAATCGGAGACATTCGTGGTGATTTGGTCATTGGACCTACCTCTGTGAAAGAGTCGAGCGTGGAGACAGCTGCACTGGTCACAGGCGTCTGCTGCAGCAGCTGAATCAGCGGCTCCACCGAGATGCCGATCTGAGAGACTGAGGGTCCTCGCGCGTGGTTCATTAGCCCAAACGGGTGCTGCGATGCACTGTCTGTGCCGACAAAACGGCGGTGGAATAAATGAGACACAAAAGCGACGAGATGTTAAAAAGGGAGACAAAAAAACATTATCAGGAAAAATTATACACACGCATGGATACGGTCACCCTTTCCGGCATGCACTTGTCTTCACAAGTATTCAATTTAGCAGTATGAAAAGATGTTGTCAAGTGATTTTTTTTTTCATATTTGCCAAGTCCTTATGTTCCTGTTTATCTCAAATTTTTGGTTAAGCTCCTTATAGCAACACAGCTTTATTCTAGATTTGTTAATATTACATAAAATGTATACGAGTTGTTAGATGCTTTTAACCTCAGCTGTAAAGTATTACAAATAATCATTCATTCAAGAGAATAATGAACACCAAATCATATCAATCTGTGAACTTACTTGGGTTGTAAACCATTACATGCCCAATCATACTACCCAATTTCAGCGGACACAATTCAGCAGTGTTGCACACAGAACCTGCCGAGCGGCTGGCAGCACGTACTCAGTGTCTGACGTGCGATCTTGAAGATGGCGCTGGGCTTGTCGTTGGCAAGGAAGCCCAGTAGCTGCCACGAGGCGCCGCCGGCCCCGTCGGGATAGGAGAAGTACACGGAGCCGCCCATACCCTCCGGGAAGGGTATCGTGCCCGTGAGGAACACCACTACGTGGTGGATCTGATCGCAGTCCGGCAGCAGGAACACAAACTTGTCTTCCGCCACTTGCTGCACATCCGTCTGCACCTGCGGGAGAACCGCAATGATCATGCATGGTAACGCTTGGCTACGACCCGGCGCTTTCGAGGCGAGGGTTGGTTGTTCTTGTAGCTATGCGAAACTCAGTATAGCTCTCTGATGTATTTTTGGGTTGCGCAGAATATTTTTCGGCACCATGTTCGACGTTTCCCTCCATATTCTGGGAAGCACAGGGAAGCCCTCGGTGAGTTCTGGAAAATGGATCAGCATCCTCACATAAAGGATATTGATGAAACTCCAAAATCCATTTGGATACAAAGGTGGCCAGAATATGTCAGGACAGCACATGGGGCTGTTAAAACTTTGTTCGAGTACAGTATTTGCGTGTGATCATTTTGTAAGTGTGGGGTTTCTTTCGGCTACTCTGGTTTCCTTCCACACGGAAAACTTATTCATGGACGGGCTAAATATCCAATTGTATAACTTTACTGAGAAACAGTCTTGAGACTTGGTGAGTCTTACCTGGGTACACTTATTCGTGGCTATCTTAAACCCCCAGCTCACTTTCAAGATTGAAATCACCTTAATCAAAACCATCCATAGACTCACCATTACATAACTCTCCCCGCCCATCTCACGCGTTTTTTCCCCTCTACGTACCCTCCTTATCTACTCATCTCACTCGACACTCCTCCACGCACTCTCCACTCGAGCAACGAACACTTCTGTCGAATCCCCCAGTCAACCTTTTGTTCAGTGGGATGTCACTCATTGTATTTTGCTGCCTTCCTTGTCTGCTATTCTTTTCTCCCAGCTATGTGTGATGTTGACTTCCGGCCCACCATTCAAATATAGGTTGCTCTCTGTAAAATAAAATGTGCACCGTTTCTTGTGCAGCGTCTTGAGGTGCGGTCGTATTTAGACATTATTTAAATCCACACTCTGAAGTATTTGCATCCAAATGCGAGGCGGTTCATACACGGCCTCAAGCGAGGGAGGCCAATTCTCTGTTGCATAAAACACCACGAATTAATACGTTAATTTTGCGTATAATTTTAATCAGCAAAACAAATTAGTACAAATAAATGAACATCTTTGCGCTACTGGTCCCGGTGTTGATCCTTTCGTGGAGACAACCACACCAATCCAACATCGCACGTCTACTCTAAATCTGGCTATCGCCTTATAAAGCTAGTTGTAATTACTGGCGAAACGTCGTACTCAGATTGCTAATGCTGTGGCTTGGCTCTCCAACACACCGGTGTGCTGTACTAATAACGAATTGGCATGTTTTGTTTTCGTGAAAAACCTTACTAATTGGCTGTGGCAGGTATCACGACACATTTATATTTAAGCGATCCAACCCCAAAAAACCCTGTATTATAGATACTGCTCGATTCACATTCTCCGTAAAACTAAATCATTCGGCAGAAATGTCGAGATCCTTCCTGTGACGGATAAACAGTCAACACGTGGAGGATAGCCCCTCCTCTTCGAGCCGTGGAGATTATTCTATCATACGTCACAGTGTTGGCCCCGCGGCGATATATTTACACATGTGCGCAGTTCAATGGCATACCTGTCCCAAGCTCTCACCAGTGCCTACCTTACTACAGGCCAATTCAGGCATTATTAATAGGTCACCCCGTGCCCTTATAAATCTCAACATTAACCCTACAAAGCCCTCATCACAAGGGAAAACAATTAAAAAATGTGTCCGTGTTGAAACAGCTGTACGCCGTATGGACCTGAAAACTAAATTTCCCTCCACAAGAATACGGAGTAAAACGTATGGGTTGACACGGTATTTTAATCGATTTACCTTCACCGCTTGCAGACGTAGACTCGATTGTTTCCTACGTGATCGTACTTTTGTTTTATTAAAACGTGGTCGTTAAGCGACGAAATGAACGGAGTAAATACATGTAAATGACGCATTTATATCGTTATTGTTGTACCGCATCCCTCGTTGTATGGCACCACTCGAATCTCTTTAAATTCCCAAACGAGCGAGTGCAATTTCACTGATTAGTAAAACAAGTAGTTACGAGAAGAATGTGTTGAATAACCGATTAAACAATCGAATTAAACAAATAAAACCTCGCAGTTTCAGGCGTGCGTGGGTGTGGGCGCAGTGGTTAACGCGCTGCGTTATGAAGCCTGCGAACCAAGTAACTTCCCGGTCACGGCTATCATCAGTGGCGAGTGATCGATCTGCACCGATTCTGCGCTTATACTTCACCAATTCACATTGACCGGCGTGGTGAAGTATAGCCCAGAGCGAGGTTCGTGGGCCGGTGACACAAAGCCCCAAGCCGGTAACGCGCCCGTCGCTTACCGCAGAGAGATTCAACGTGGGTTGTGATAATCACAACAACACGAGGCAGTCTGCTTCACAGTGAGCGTCATTCGCAAGGCAGATAATGGTCCAAATTCTAATTCTCCTTAACAAAAGACTCCATTTGGAGGAGCAATCGTCAACCCCCCCCCCCGGACTTTCAGACCCGGTCAAAACACAAAATCAACGTTTAACTTCACCGCCACATAGGTTCGTCACCAAGCAGTGCAGTGCCAAATGTATCGAGATAATAACAATACAGCAACACACACCGTTATCACTAGAGACAATAGACGTGTGAGTGTGTGTGCGAGTACGCGCGGCACGGCTTCACAGTAAACCCACACGACGCTCAGCGTCGCCTCACCAGGCGGCCCGCGGCCACGCAGCCGAACATGCCGCTGCTGCTGTCGTTGTCGTCGTCGTCACTGCTGCTACTCGAAGAATTAACGGAGGAGGAGGAGGAGAAGCGAAGGAGGAGACGGAGACGACGACGCGGGGAGAGGTTTCGAGAACAAAACGACGCACGCCGGACCCGGTGCCAGGCCGGAAGTTCGCGCCCCTGACCCTATGTGCGAGCCACAACTGCTTCCGGGGTCAAACGACGTCAACGCGCGTGACGTCACCGCGCACGGTTGGTGGCGATGACGTCACCGGCCGTTGGATGCGTACGAAGACGTCGCCGGTTGTGGATGTGTGGCGATGACGTCACCGGTCGTGTATGTTGTGCGATGACGTAATCGCGCGCGTGAGGCCAGCGGTTGTTGCCGTCGTTTTGTTGTCCTCCTCCTTGTCGTCGTTGTGGCTGATGACGTCATACAGAGCGATCGGCGATGATGACGTCATAATTCGGGTGTTCGAGCCAGCCGTTCGTAAATGACGTCACGCACCTAGGAAGGGGGGGGTGAGAAATGTGACGTCACATCGAAATGCGCAACTTTAAATAAATACTAGCTGTACTACCCGGCTTCGCCCGGGACTTGTATCCACCACGGCCGGCCGCCTTTGTCTCCCCAGTGGCGATGTTAATACGCTACAGCAGTTACTCGTTTGAGGCAGAGTCGACCTAGGGGAGGTTCAAATAATCGTCACCGGTGGTGGCCATGAGCGGGAATGGAACAGGGTTCGCCGGGTTGGTAGCGCAGCGTAGCGTTAAGCACTACACCCACCGCTCCTCACACACACAGACGCACAGACACACACACAGACACACACACAGACACACGCAAACACACACAGACAGAGACACACACACAGACAGCACGCTAACCACTACACTACCGCTCCCCACACACCACACACGCACACACACAGACACACACACACAGACACACACACACAGACACACACACACAGACACAGGCAGCACGCTAAGCACTACACTACCGTTTCCCCTACACAACACACGCGCGCGCGTCCATAGGTACACATACACGCGCTTGCTGCAGACACACACGACTTTCAGGGTGCGTACGGCAGTAAACGACTGAAATAATAAAGCGGCAATGCTGCGCAAGGAACGCCTTAGACCAGCAACACATTTGTGTAATGCGAGCGTAAAGACACAAACTCATACAAACACATACACAATATACACACACACATACATGCAGACACACAGACAGACACATAACACACATACATACACACACATACATACACAGAAACACATACACACACATACATAGACACACACATACAACAACAACAACAACCGCCATTCGCCACTAAGTGGCGGTGACGTCACCACGATGCTTGTGCCAGGCCAAGTGCACCTTGAGGCCACGTGAAGTGTCGAAAGCCCGCTGGCAGGAGGTCACGGGGCAGACCCAGGTGCCACTGGTCGACTGACCGAGATGACCGAGATGACTGGCTGATGCACCACCTGTGCCCCCTACTGTGCCAACTTGCTGTGCTTTAGCCACCCGGCGCTCCGCTCGTTGTTGTGAGCGTCGCTCCTCCGCCCTCCGTTGTTGTTGGAGGGCGACTGCCTCCAACTGCCCAGTAGCGTCCTTCACGAGCCTCCTCCACTGAGGCCGATCTTGACACCGCTGGTACCAGTCATCGGCAAGTCCACTCAGCTCCACGTCCTCCTGTACCACATCACTCCATCTCTTCTCCAGCCCGTGCCGCGCCCGTCTAGCCCCCTCGATCCGGCCGAACAAAAGCTGTTTAGGCATGCGGTGGCTGGGCATGCGGGCTACATGACCCAGCCAACGCAGCCTTGCCTGCCGGAGGAGCTCACTGATGGGACTTTGCCCAGATCTTTCAAGGATTTGTGAGCTCCTCACACAATCCAGCCTGGTTAAACCCAGGATGGATCGTAGGCAGGCCAGCCTAAATGTTTCCAACCGGCGAAGATGCTCCACCAGGGGGGTCCACGTCTCGCAAGCGTAGAGAAGGGAGGGAATGACCGTGGCCGAGAAGACCTGAAGCTTCGTGCGGAGCGACAGACCAGGTAGCTTCCACACAGCGTTACGCAACCGATGAAAAGATATTGCCGCTCGACTGATTCGGAGTGAGACCTCTGCTGATAGACTGGAGCCGGTCATAAGCACACTGCCCAGGTATGGGAAACTCTCCACTCTCTCCACAACTGCCCCATCACCAATTGGGAGTTGTGGGGGTGGAGTGTCCGATGGTACAAAATACCCAGGCAGGTGCTTGGTTTTGGTGGGGCTGATGGTAAGGCCCCACCTCTTAGTGGCACGCTCCAGTCTCAGCAGCAGCGCCTCCAACTCCTCTTCTGAATGAGCAGCTATTACCAAATCATCGGCATACATAACGTGGTTGACCAATAGGGAGCCATCCCTTGATCGCACCCGGGCGTCGATCAGCCTCCCATTATATCTGTACCAAACGGAAATTCCCCCGGTACAGCTATTGAAGGCTTCACGAACTACGCGGTCAAAATAGATGTTAAATAATGTGGGAGCCAGAGGACATCCCTGTCGCACCCCAAGGTGTACAGGGAAAGGCTCCGACTCCCGGCCACGTAGTTTTACCCGGGCCCGCTCACCATCATGAAGGTCCTTAATGATCGTGAGCAGAGGGTCAGGGACTCCGAAAGCACGAAGAACAACCCAGAGTCCAGTCCTACTGATGGTATCATAGGCCTTGACCAGGTCAATAAAGCAGAGATGTAGGTCTTTTTGGAATTCCCTACACCTCTGCTGTAGCAGACGGACAGAAAATATGGCATCTGTGCAGGACCGCCCTTTCCTGAAACCGCATTGGGGCTCCGCAAGCCCCTCCTCAGCGTGCCTAGCAAGGCGATGTTGAATAATCCTTGCCAGGACCTTACCCGGCACACTGAGGAGTGAGATGCCCCTGTAGTTGTTACAGTCTGTGCGGTCCCCCTTCTTAAAGAGGGGGACCACCAGGGCATCCTTCCAGTCCTGCGGAACCCGTCCAGTGGTCCAGACTGTTGTTATGATGTCATATAGGGCAGTCTGTGCACAAACGCCACCCTCCCTCAGCATTTCGCTTGGGAGATCATCTCTGCCCGGTGCCTTCCCTGGTCTCAGACTCCGGATCGCCCTCAGTACTTCCTCAACAGCTGGAACCTCAGCCAGCCACTCACAGGGGGTGACCTCTTCCAATATTTGAGGCACCGCAGCCTCAGCAGGGTTATCCCCACTTTGTGCCATGATGTTTTCCTGGCTGAGAGAATTTCCCTCCCCCAGGACCTCACAGAAATGCTCAGCAAATCTGCAAACCTGTTCCTGGGGGTCGGAGATTGGATCACCGTTTTTTCCTCTAATGATGGTAATAGGTGTGGCGCTGCAGGTTACTTTTTTGATGGAGTTAAATAGTGATTTGTGATCACGGGCCACTGAGGCAGACTCCATCTCCTCAGCAACCCGCGACCACCACCCATCCTTACAACGCCTTACGGCTCTCCGAACTTCCGAGCGAAGGCTGCGGTAAACCTCCTCATTCTCTGACGTGGGATGCTGTAGGCGATGAGAGTGGGCCTGTCGCTTTTTCTCAATTAACCTGAACACCTACATACACCCAAGCACATGCACACACGTACATACACACATACATACAGACACGCAGACATACACATAAAGACATAGAAAAAAACCCACATACATACACACACATACACATACATACACACATACATACAGACACACAGAGATACACATAAACACATACACACATACACAAAAGACCCGGCTTCGCCCGGGACTTGGATCCACGATGCCCGTCCGCCTTTGTCTCCCCAGTGACGATGTTCACACACGACAGCAGTTACGCGTTTGAGGCTGAGTGGACCTAGGGGAGGGCCAGGTCCGTTTCAAATAATCGTCAGCGGTGGTGGGCGTGAGTTTGAATCGAACTGGGGTCACTCAACCAGCTTAATGACTATTTGTACAAAGAACATATAAAGAATCGATTATAATAACCAGGCTACAGTCCACATTATAGACTGCCAGTACACGCAGTCAGCTTCATAAGCAGGCTAGAGTGTACATGATAGAGTGGCAGTACGCTCACCGAGCTTAATAAGCAGGCTACAGTCTACATGATAGACTGGCAGTACGCTGACCCAGCTTAGTGACTATTTGTACAGTGAACATTTAAGTAATCAATTGTTGGCGCGTTGGGTTTAAAAGTAATATAAATTGCACACATTGTGGTGGGGGTGGAGTGAAGAGTAGGACAAACTTTGCGGAATTTACCTCAGAGTGGCGTGGTGGGTGTCGAGGCCTAGTAGCGTGCAGAGCCTGCGGCCTCGCCTAAATTGCCCACCCGGCAGAGGCAGGGTACGGGTGGCGTGCCTTCCCCCCCCCCTCAGCGCTCCAACAACACTGTGTAATGGCTATTATTTAATTATTTACGGAGCCTATGAAAGTGGCGAAGGCGTGGCTAGCCGTTGGCAGGGGCAACCGCCGTCCAATGAAACTGCAGCCCTTGGCGAAGGCGTCGCTAGCCGTTGCCAGGTCCAATGAAAGCGGCAAAGGCGTCGCTATCCGTTGCCAGGGGCAACCGCCGTCCAATGAAAGTGCTTATGGTCCGAAATCCACACACACACACAGACGGACAGACAGACATTCACGATTTTATATATATAGATAGACAACACGTTCTACTTAACTAAATTGACTTTTTTATAAATGTTTTCTCCTACAACATCAGAGTGCAGCGCCACATTGAATACGCACTACAATGACAATAGTTGAAAGCGATTTGAAGCATTATGAGACATCTCCTTTACCAGTGGCAAAATATAGTAATAGGTGTTTACCCTTTCAACTGGTACAAAAACTGACACCTTTATACAAGGCATCATGTTTGCAATAACCACAACACAAGCAGTCAAAATGCAAACAAAAAGAAACAACTCTGATAATGATAATGGTATGCACTGTCCTTGAAGTTGTTTGGTCACACCCGAGACAGCTTTAGAGCCTAGTCTCAAATTGGTGTTGGACCAGATGATGCCAAAAGGCGTACAACTCAAAAAGTGCACTATCAGATTATTGACAGCTCGGGGTAAGCATTTACACTATGAGACATCTCCTTTACCAGTGGCAAAATATAGTAATAGGTTTTTACCCTTTCAACTGGTACAAAAACTGACACCTTTATACATTACACATTATCACCATCAGCCACGACCGATCTACTGCCGGATCGTCCACGGTCTTGCTGCCACAATCCTGAACGAGAAAAAAATTAAGTCGGTGTTGCTTTCAGGAGTGTGCTCTAGTGATGCCAAATAAAGCCCTCATTCATTGAAGAAGATGCTTGATTTAAACGAGGTGAGAGGCCGTTGGGAGGTGGTGTTACTTTAACATTGGGACCAGGGACGTTTAGACTAATAATGAAATATGTAATTGACGAAAATTTCCCATCGCAACAACAAAATAGTGCATTGTATGTATGTTGAACTTCTTTCGCAACGTACATAGCCAACGGTGTCATATCATGCAAATTATTTACATTTGTAAGATGCCTCTAAATAATGTAAAAATGCACCATGCAAAGACGAACTGTGCAAATGTGGAAAGAAATTGAAACAGAAAATATGTTGAGGCGAGTTCAAAATATTCAAGATATGTGATTAGCAGAAACTATTACATGAAAGGTTCTGAAGATGCGTTATTGATGTTGCTGGAGTTGAAATATTTAGCCAAAGCCATTGCAGTGACTGGAATAATGTATACATTGTAAATAAGTGTAGTGACGTATATTGAGTCACTACGGCGTTTAGCGCCAGCTGATACAAGAATAGAACTCATCTTCTTGGTTCTTTCGGTAAAGTCACGTAGAATGGAAATAATAAAATAATAAAAGTAAAACATTATATTTATGTTTTATTTGTATTTTTATTATTTTATTATTTCCATTCTACGTGACTTTACCGAAAGAACCAAGAAGATGAATCCCTGCAGTCACGAAAGCTTTAAATCGAAAGAATAGAACTGTGCGTGTTAGAGCCTCTCTCTGGCACCAGAGTATGTATGGCATGGAAGGGGGGCCTAGGGGCATGGTTCTGTTGACCATCAGAGAGAGGTGAGTTAAGGACGTGACAGTCTGGGTTAACCTGAGAGGGCACGTGACCAGGACAGGGTAGCGAGGGGGGCCAAAAAGTAGCGAGAGGGACACGTGATGTATGGCCCAGAACCTTCTAGTGAGATCCAGAAGGGGGCGTGACCAAGGGCGGAGCCAGGCCACGCTCAGGGGCATAAAAGAGAGGTCCCGAGAGCTGATCGGGGCTGTCTTCTGGAATGTAACCCGCCGTGATACGTTCTCTTCGATCTTCGGGTGAGGCAGCATGTTACTGACCTGGCCCGGTTATGTAGTTATCTGGTTGGGGTCTAGTTACCGGTGGTAGTTACCACCTATGTCGTTATCCCGTACGTTTATGTAGTCACCCTGTTGGGGTGTTAGAATAAACGTGTTGCTTCCAAAGTCAGGTGTGTGTCTCTGTGGAACCCATGACATAAGTATCAGGTTTGAGTGACCTCCACAACAGCGGCATTGTGGACTTCATGGCCTTAGCAATTGTGAACTTTGGGAGTCCAGAGTAGAGGAAAGGTGTTTGTGGAGTTGGCAAGTATGAATGTTGGTGGTCACTCTTAACAGTTGACTTTACCAAAAGGCAGAAGAAAGAAAAGCTTGGACGCCACGAGGCGTGCTTTGCATTCGTCCAATGGGTCTCTGCTTGTTTTATCTCAAACCCCCTTTCCATTATTTATGTTAGGTTGCCATGTTGCGGCTTCAGAGTTTAGGGAATCTTTTGTTGTTGTTAAAATAATAACGCTTGCTGCACACACAGCAAACACATCCCTCTTGGTGAAGCCTATCGAATGTTGGGACAAACTTTGTTGGTGAACAACTATGAAGGCTGGCACGGCAGCACACGAGGAGGGGGTGGTGCGATCAACACAAGGCCGTAATTACAATATATATTGGGGGGGGGGGACACATCCCCCCCCCCCCAATATTCAAATTTGCTCAAAAAGTCCCCCCCAATATATTGCTATAAAATAGATTTCTGTTTATATGATTGTGGTTATGGTTGTACTTTAATAATCCCTAATCTCTGCCATTACATACAATGAAACAAGAAAAGGTAAAAAAGCAGAGCAATGTAATACAATACACTATTGGACATTATTGTAAAAAATAAATAAAAAGTCCATCCTATGTGTTAGTGAATTTTTTTAAATATTTTAGGCAGGAAATGGCAGGAAATTAGTTTTCATATTTAGATATTTTTTCGGGGGGGAGGGATCCCCAGACCCCTTGGAAGATTTGGTCCCCCCAATGTTGACTCCATAGCTACGACCTTGGATCAACACCATAGCTACCGAGTGCTGATTTTCCCACAGGGCACACCAGGTCCTCATGAAAGGCTGAGTTGACCTCAGGGAGACCCCGTGAACCGGTTCAGATATCACTCGCTACTGATTCTGGCTATGACAGGGAATCGAACTCACGTGGCCGGTTTAATTACGCAGTACGCTACACCACTATGCCACCACTCAAAACAAAGATGCCCCGTACAGCCTTCACAGACTGTTGGGGCAAGTGCTTTCAGCGAGCACCTATGAAGGCCGGCACAGCACACGAGGGGTTGGGTGGCCAGCAGTTCGCCCGGCCGCCTTTGTCTCCCTGTGGCGATGTTCACACACCGCACAAATTTTAGGCTGAGTCGACCTAGGGGAGGCCCAGGACCTGTTCAGATAATCGCCACCGATGTTTTGCCCGTGAGCGGGAATCGAGTTCGGATCGCCGGTTTCGCAGCACAAAGCGATAACCACTGCATCACCGGCCCCCCCAAACACAGAGACCCCCCCATACAGCCTGTAACAGACTGATTGTCAATAGTGCTGTTGGCGAGTAGCACATCTATGAAGGCCGGCACGGCACACGACGGGGTGGGTGTCCATCAACCAGGCCCGGCCGCCTTTGTCTCCCCAGTGGCGGTGTTTACCCCCCCCCCCCCACACACACACACAGGCAATTGTGCTCTAACACGTGCTCGTGTCGCAGCAGCAGCAGCAACAAAGACATCGACCACCGCTTTCGTGTTGCTGCTGCTGCCCCCCCCCCCCCCTGGTCACCGTGGCAACGCGGGGGGGGGGGGTGCAACGTGCGGGGATTCTCGACCCCCCCCCCCTGCAGTGCAAAGACAAAGATCCCCCGAGTAGCCTCTAACAGACTGTCGGGGCAAGTGCTGTGAGCGAGCAGCAGTTGTGAAGGCCGGCACGGCACCACGAGGGGGGTGGGTGGCCAGCGACCACGCCCGGCCGTCTTTGTCTCCCCAGTGGCGATGTTTTTACGCACCGCACCGGCTACTCATTTCGAGGCTGAGTCGACCTCGGGGAGGCCCAGGACCGGTGTCAGATATTACTCGTCACTGATGTTGGCCGTGAGCGGGCATTGAAGCCCCCGGTCGCTGGGTTCGTAGCGCAGCGCTAACCGCGACACCACCGCTCCCCACTATCACCCCCCTACCGTGCACATCCCCCCCCACCACACACCCCTACTCCCCCACCCAACTAGACCCCCCCACCACTACCCCCCCACCCACCCCTAGCCCCCCCACACACCCCTACCCCCCCACCCAACTAGACCCCCCCACCACTACCCTCCCACCCACCCCTAGCCCCCCACACACCCCTACACCCCACACACCCCTACCCCCCCACACATCCCTAGCCCCCCACACACCCCTACCCCCCCCCACCCACCCCTACCCCCCACCCACCCCTAGCCCCCCCACACACCCCTACCCCCCACCCACCCCTAGCCCCCCCACACACCCCTACCCCCCACCCACCCCTAGCCCCCCCACCCACCCCTAGCCCCCCCACACACCCCTACCCCTCCACCCAACTAGACCCCCCACCACTACCCTCCCACCCACCCCTAGCCCCCCCACCCACCCATACCCCCCACCCACCCCTAGCCCCCCCACACACCCCTACCCCCCCACCCAACTAGACCCCCCACCACTACCCTCCCACCCACCCCTAGCCCCCCACACACCCCTACCCCCCACACACCCCTACCCCCCCACACACCCCTACCCCCCACACACCCCTACCCCCGCCCACCCACCCTACCCCCCCACACACCCCTACCCCTCTCTCCACCCCACCCCCACCATGCAGGTCACTCCTGCAGCTCCGTGTGGGCTTGACGAGGAGGAGGAGGAGAAGGGGGGAGGAAGCTGCAAGAGGTGGTGGATTAGCAACCACGACCATCATCATCATCATCGCTGCCTCGGCTCCTGCTCGGCTGTGGGCTCGGAGGCTCTGGATGTGAGCGCACGGACGAGTGAAGGGGGCAAAGATCACGCGAGTGAGTCAATTTGTGTGTGTGTGTACATTGAACTTCTTTCGCACCGTACGTAGCCAACCGTGCTATTCGGAGTCGCTGTTTGTGTGTGGCAGTGCAGCGGTTAGCGCCCTGCGCTACGAACCCGGCGACCCGAGTTCGCTTTTCGCTCACGGCCAACACCGGCGACGATTATCTGACACCGGTCGTGGGCCTCCGCGAGGTCGACTCAGCCTCAAATGAGGAACCGGTGCGGTGCGTAAAAGACATCGCCGCTAGGGAGACAAAGGCGGCTCAGCGTGGTGCTGGCCACCCACCCCCTCGTGTGTCGTGCCACTCGCTGACAGCACTTGCCCCAATTGTCTGTTTGAGACTATACGGGGGTGTTTGTGTGTGTGGAAGAGACAACCTTTCCAATTTGACGTATTTTTTTCAACTCAATTTGAAAAATAATAAATAAAAATATGGCCAGCCTTTCGATCAAACCACAATAGGAGCAAAGCCTCCGGTCAGGTCGTGTTGGTCTTGGCGGTGTTTCTGACCAAACTTGGTCATGCTGGTCAATGTGGATTGGTGAATAGGGGGGGGGGGGGTTGGGGGTGGGTTAAGGTTAGAACCAGGTCAGATATCGCCCGCCACTGATGTTAGCTGCGGATGCGAATCAAATCCAGATTGCAAGGTTCACAGCACAATGCAAACGCATCAGTGCCACCGCTCCATCCAATAGCACACGTTCCCTTATTGTAGAATGTTTGCAGTTATTGGTTAATATTATACGAAGCTTAAAAGGATTTGTATTTATTTGATTAAATTACGTTTGGGTTTTTTTTGCCTAAAGTACGGCCACGTTGGATGTCCACGCGGTCAATGATTCATTGCCCGTTCACGCATTACCTCTCTCTTTGTTTCACAGGAGGGGGCGGACGAGTTTGGCGGAAATTAGGACATCGTAAGCAACAACAACAAGAATACATCTTGTGCTCCCCGCGGCATGTCCATGTGGAAGGCACCCACCTTCAGCGTGTTCGAACCCCGCAGCTACGACAACCGTGAAAGTCTGGCGCGCAAGTTTGCAGCGTGGCAGAATTGCCTGCGATCGAATGACAAAGGAGAAGATGATGAGGACATCCGCGCCACGGAAACACAACGACAGACCTCGTACGATGCGCCTGCTTCCGAACGAGCAGCCGCATACAGCCTTAACGGCGAGACAATTCTGGAGGATGACCCCGGTCCAGGATCGCGTTTTGACGAGAGTCACCGCAGTTCAGCTACATTATATTCAGACCATTCAGGCTTGAATGGTGCACGCTTTGCTGGTGAAAAGTTGCTCCCGTTACATCCTCCGTGGGACGAGAGAGACAGCACGCGTGTCGTTCACTCCGGCACCGCTCCGTCCGCCGTGAACACCGGGACTTTACCGTTTCGCAAAAGTGGCATTGCCCAGATTCCCACGCATCTCCCGCTCGATTCCTCCGCCTCTGCCAAGAACGAGACACGATGGCACGGCATCGACTCCGACTATGAGCAACGTCTTTCCCAGGGGCATGCCGGAGAGCGATCGCTGCACACGAGTTGGACAAGAACACTTGTGCCTCGAGTGCCCGGAAGTTTTGAGCAGCTGCTAAATTCACAGCTTGAGAATGCCCTCTCCAAATTCAGCTCCCTCGTCCCTCTCGAGCCACGAGGGTTTCCCCTGCACAAGAGTAGCTCGCCCGTAGAGACGGAGAGGTCCGCGTATCGGACATTCGACGGCTCGTCGGATGGGATGTCACTCATCGCGGGGGAACGCACCGCCCCACCGTGGGATTACGAGATGCCAACTGCAGGAGACACGGTGTCTGCACTGCTGGAGTTTGGCATTGTCCAGGTCTGCCTCCGCCACCGCACATTTAACAATGATATTATAATCATGATTGTGATCATGATAATGTATGTACTTATCCAGGAAAGGCACACTGAGTCGTAGGACTCGTTATCAGAAGGGTCCTGCATTGGGTTTTTATTTTAAGATGTTTTCAGCAAATTCATGATGAGCTGTTTGTACACGCGGGAGGAAACCGGAGCACCTGGAGAATACGTGGGAGGGGGCAATACGGTATCCCCGTACAGATGGAAACAGATGGCGATGAGTCCACTTGCTGTACTGCCTTCTCCTGGCAATCCAGGGTGCCATGATGCCCTTATCGTGTCAAGGTGTCATACCTTGATGCTCACGGGTAGAGAGTTTAACAACATTTGTGGTGGCCTATGTGGTGACCCATAATCACCAATTAACCCTTGACCCTGACCTCCTGCCAACGTGGCCACGACACTTCCCCATTGCCTCGAAGTGCACCTGGCCTGGCACAAGCACCTCGGTGACGTCACTACCACTTTTGTGGCGAATTGGCGGTGGTTGCTGTTGCATTTGGTGAGCGGTGGGTACGAGGTAATGATTAGTGCCTTGCACTATGAACTCATCAAACCACGAGTTACATTCTTGGCCATGGTTGACATACCGTGTCAACCCATGCGGTTTACTCCGTATTCTTGTACAAGGAAGTTGAGTTTTCAGGTCCATACGGCGTACAGCCGTTTGAACACGGGGCAAAACAAAAAAGTGCCTATTTGTTTGTGTTTCTCTCTTGTGATGGGACTTTGTAGGATGAACGTTGAGATTTATAAGGGCACGGGGTGACCAATACGGTCTGAATTGGTCTGTAGTAAGGGAGGCATTGATAAGAGGTTGACATGTATGGGTTGACATCGGTGGCGAGTGACGATCTGAACTTGTCCTGGGCCCCCCCCCTCCATCATCTTCACCAGCGTGGTGAAGTATGGTCAAACAAGTGCCGTGACCGACATGGCGTTGTGGAGGTCTAAGCCCCACATTACAGGAAACGATGACACTTTCATGCACCAACGATGTCTTCTGATCCCCTTCGTATTCCGAAGCTCTGTTCCTGTGGGTGATCGGGCTTTTGCCAGTGCAGCTCCAAGACGTACGGAAATGCGTTGCCTCTGATAATTACAAGGCAATCACAATCTCTAGAGCTATTTTAATCTGCCATGAAAACTCACCTCTTTTAAAATGGCATTTTCCCCCCATAGTTCCCGGTCGTTTATGCTGGCTCCATGAGTTTTTTTCCCAGCTTTCCATACCCGGGCGCACATTGGGATCCTTGCATGAAATGCTCCTTTGCAAATGTAAATTATGATTATAATAAATCCAGCAGTGGATTGACAAAGGGCGGTTATTCTAAATAAAACGTGCTGTACGTGTAACAACTTCTGTGTGTGAAACAAACAAACAGGTGTCAATTTTAATTGCCTTTTGTCTGTTAGCAGCTGGCCTGATCTCCAGAAATAACAACGATTTTTCCTCCACAAACGCTGTTGCTACGACTTCGCTTATTGTCGCAAGGTTCCTGTAGCGAGGGAAGCCTAAGGCGCTTTGGCGTTAATCTGCAAATATTGCAAACTCAAATGCTGCAGCGTAAGGCTTCCGTTGGCAAACATTAAGGTAAACAATTCAGTTCCACTCATGGGGCAGGAGCCAGTGAATGGGAGTGGGCGCGTGTGTGTCTGTGTGTTTGTGTCTGTATGTCTGTGTGTGTCTGTGTGTGTCTGTCTGTGTGTGTCTGTCTGTGTGTGTCTGTGTGTGTCTGTCTGTGTGTGTCTGTGTGTGTCTGTCTGTGTGTGTCTGTGTGTGTCTGTCTGTGTGTGTCTGTGTGTGTCTGGGGAATATGGGGAGCGGACGTAAGCGGGAATCGAACTCGGCAAGCCGAGTTCGATTCAATGTAAATCCGGTTAATCCGTTCTGACCTTTTTTTTGGTTTTTGAAGCACAAAAATATGAAACAAATGACAATACACATTACTGTAGTACTGTACAGTATAGTAATGTATAAAGAGAGAACACTAACCTTGCTTGAGATGACTTCTGGCATGGAGGAAGGCAGGTGGGAGGCGGGTGTCACCTGCATTGCTGTTCTTGTCACCTTCATTGCTGCTCCGCACTTTCTTCTTTCCACCATGCTTCTTGGGAGCCATATTGGGAGTCCAGTACAGTAAGCACTCAAACGGGTGAACTGTACAATACAGTAAGTACAGTATTGTACAGTACAGTAGTACAGTACTGTGTGTGCTAAAAAGCACACCAAAAATCAAAAAGTCACTGAAAGTGTCTTCACAGTACTCACAGTACTCCTTTCTGTGTCTCTGCTTCTGTCCACGATCTTCCTACAGGAAGTCACGACCATGTGACAGCCTGGAATTAGCATAAAAATGGCCGCGGCTCCTGTTCGTGAACCGAAGCGGAGTTCGTGAACCGGAGCATATTTTTATGAAATTTTCTGTTCGTGAACCGAGTTGTTCGTGAACCGAAGCGTTCGTGAACCGAGGTATCACTGTATACTCTGTCTCCATGAGGGGCGGGGCTCTGGGGGATCGTAGCTCCTGCCCAGCCCCCCCCCCCTCCCCTCAGAGGGGTTCCAACCGCCGTTGGCCCGACCGGTCCGGACCGGTTTCTACCCCTCCCGCTGGTTGTTGCACGTGTGTGTCAATCATGACCAGCACACACCTGTCCACAACAAGTATAACCCGTAAAAACAAAGTTTTTCACTATAAATCCTTTATATGCGTGGCGGCTAGAGTCCTCTCGTCCTCTGGCTTGAGATAGCTGCCACCTATGGGTCAGATGATTGCATTGCACCATTAAGCAATTGGTAATTAAATATAATATTTTTGTCCTAAAAAGTGTAAAATTTTGGAAAAAAAATTTCACGAACATTAATTGTCACGCACAACGAGTCTGTGTGGAAAATGTCAGCTCGATTGGATCACGGGAAGTGGGTTAAAAAACGACCGAAAGATTTGCACGGTCGTAAGCAAGCAAGCGAACTTAATATAAAGGATTTAAAAATAGTTGCTGGTTCATTTGATAAACCTACCACGCAATAGTCCATCCCGCAGCGTTTGAATTGTGGCTAATGTATTTACGAGCAATATTATTCGTGCTTCTAGATTTGAAGCTTTCGTGACTGCAAGGATTCATAACTCTTAGTTCTTTCGGTAAAGTCACGTAGGTAGAAAATTTAAATAAAAATTAATAAAAAATAAAACAATAAAATCACGACGTTTCGGAGGCAACACAAGTCTCCGTCATCAGGTGGGACCGTCACAGCCAGATTTGCTGCAACAAGTGAGGCAAGGATTCAAGATGCAAGCCCTTAAATACAAGTTGGGGGGGAGGAGAGGGGGTTAGATTATACTGGTAGGAACGAAGTGGACCAGACACCAATAGATTATATCGTCCGTCCGTTTGTCCGTCCGTCCGTCCGTGTAGCAACATCGCCCCCTACTGCAAACACTTGGCATGACCCTACAAAAACCTTTAGACTCAGTGACGCTATCCTGGTAGCAACATCGCCCCCTACTGCAAACACTTGGCATGACCCTACAAAAACCTTTAGACTCAGTGACGCTATCCTGGCTAAACAAGTGTAACATTCCCTTATAATTCCCTCAGATAGCTTTTAATTAAAACATTTAAATTAATGAGGCTTTCCTGGCTAAACACGTGTAACATTCCCTTATAATTCCCTGAGATAGCTTTTAATTAAAACTTTGAAATTAAATAAAAAAAACTCACAGCGCCCTAATAATTCCCTGAGATAGCTTTCAATTACAACTTTGAAATTAAATAAAAACTCACAGCGCCCTAATAATTCCCTGAGATAGCTTTTAATTAAAACTTTGAAATTAAATTAAAAAATCACAGCGCCCTAAAGCCTACAGCTAGGCCTAAAGCCTAGAACTAGGCCTGAAACTCTCCCTTCGTATCGTACCCCCGCGTGTGTGAAAGGGAGTTATGTTTAACAATGTTACATTCCCTCATGTTTTTAAATAGAAACATTTAAATTTAAAGCTTTTACATAAATCATTAAAACATTTAAATTAAAAATTAACTCACAGCACCCTAAAGCCTACAGCTAGGCCTAAAGCCTAGAACTAGGCCTGAAACTCTCCCTTCGTATCGTACCCCCGCGTGTATGAAAGGGAGTTATGTTTAACAATGTTACATTCCCTCATGTTTTTAAATAGAAACATTTAAATTTAAAGCTTTTACATAAATCATTAAAACATTTAAATTAAAAATTAACTCACAGCGCCCTAAAGCCTACAGCTAGGCCTAAAGCCTAGAACTAGGCCTCAATCTCTCCCTTCGTATCGTCCGATTCGGTGTAGCAACATCGCCCCCGACTGCAAACACTTGGCAGGACCCTACAAAAACCTTTACACTCAGTGGGGCTTTCCTGGCTTAACAAGTGTAATAATACATTATGTTTATATTCTTTGGTTATTCGTTCCTACCAGCCCACCCCGCAGGGTCCTGTTTCGTGATGACGTTTTTTGGTGGGGTAAGGGGGGGTGGTTAGATTGCGTAAATATATAAATGTGTCGTTAACCCGCCACCACCCGACACAGCCAATTCAGTAAAGTTTGTCCCGTAAACAAAACGTGCCAATGAGTGACCGCTTCAGCACAGAGGTCGGTGTGCTGAAGTAGCGACGTGACAAACCTCACTAATTGTCTGCGTCGGGTGGTGCTGGGTCAACGACACATATTTACGCGATCTAACCCAACAACAACAACAAACAAAAAACAATCCCTGATCACGCGGCTACACGCACGGAGCCCATGCAACCGCGTTGCCACGAGATTTGCGTTTTTTAAATCCTTTATATTAAGTTCACTTGCTTGCTTGCTTACGACCGTGCACATCTTTCGGTCGTTTTTTAACCCACTTTCCGTGATCCAATCGAGCTGACATTGTGCACACAGACTCGTTGTGCGTGACAATGTATTTTCGTGAAATGTTTTTTTCCAAAATGTAACATTTTTTAGGGAAATATAATAAAATATTTAATTACCAATTGCTTAATACTGGCAGACAATCATCTCACCCATAGGTGGCAGCCATCTCAAGCCAGAGGACGAGAGGACTCTAGCCGCAACGTATATAAAGGATTTAAAAACTTTGTTTTTAAATCCTTTATATTAAGTTCACTTGCTTGCTTGCTTGCGCGCTTACGACCGTGCAAATCTTTCGGTCGTTTTTTAACCCACTTCCCGTGATCCAATCGAGCTGACATTTTGCACACAGACTCGTTGTGCGTGACAATTTATTTTCGTGAAATAAATTCCAAAAATTTTCCACTTTTTAGGAAAACACTTTTTTCATATTTAATTTAAAATACCAATGTGATAAAAATGAAACTCTTACTCAAGAAAAACAGTAATGACTAATAAAATAAAACCGATGCCACGCATATAAATGATTTATAGGGAAAAACTTTGTTTTTACGGATTAATTTTTTACGGGTTAATTTTTAAAAAAAAACACGCGCGCGGCTGTCGCACGCCCACACACACACCACGTGCAATTCCACACCGATCGGCTTAAGCAAATCCCCGTCCCGCGCATCTAAATTTAGCGCACGCACCTTCAACGTTCGCATCACACACGCCGGGCATTTAACCCATCGGTCGACGTGCGGACCCACGGCACCACGCCAAGTCCGCCCGCACCGACGGACTTCGACGCTCGACGTTCGGATGCGTCGTGCCCCGCGCAAGTTTAGTACGGGCAGAAGCCGGTGATTTCGACGAGATGGCATCGATCTTCATCGCCCTGGGCGTCGAGTGGGCATTGCGCTCCTCGCTGTGCCACCTGGGCCTGCATTGGGTTTGTATTTTGTTGTTTTTTATTAGGTCGCCGCATTTTAATTCGGGTGAAACTGCGGTCCGTTTGCCGTGCGGCGATGTCGTTGCTTCGCGTGGGAACATGACGGATGGAGGTTGTCTGTGGGTTGCAGCATTGGTTAACGGGCTTGTGCGCAATTGAGAGATAAATGGAGCTGAATCCCGGCTTATTGTTTGGCATTATCATACAGCTTTTTTTGGTAAAGTCACGTAGGTAAAAAATGAAATAAAAATTAATAAAAAATAAAATAATAAAAATCACGACGTTTCGGAGGCAACACAAGCTTCCGTCTTCAGCTTGCGTTGCCTCCGAAACGTCGTGATTTTTATTATTTTATTTTTATTAATTTTTATTACATTTTTTACCTACGTGACTTTACCGAAAAAACTAAGAGTATCAATCCTTGCAGTCACGAAAGCTTCAAATCTAGAATTATCCGACAGCCTTGTTGGCCGGTGTTCATCACAGCGCAGTGAGGATTTAAACAAGATAAGGTGATGCTGGTACAGGGCGATAATTGTCGTTTCGAGTACGCTTTGTTGTTGCGGCACGACCGACTGGCCGTGCTTGCTTTAATGCAGTCTTTTTACAACCTCCAGTCCTTTCGCCGCATCCCACTCCAGGTTTTCCACACACACACACACCGCCAATCGGGCGCAGTTACGATGCGTAATATGCTTTCGTTTGCATTTGAATGGAGGCGACAAACGCAGAAAGGCGGATTGTGGCGTGCGGGTGAATTGCTGCTGCCAGTGATCTCGGCTCGAGATTTAATCAGCCGCTTGTCCCATCTGTCCTCCCTCCCCCTCCTCCACCACCACCATACCGACATCTGTCACAGGCGCTGCCCCGAGTGACGGCTCTGACAGAGGAGGAATCTCTCAAGTCCAACTCCCCGGCCGCTCTGCGCAGGGACATAGGTGCGTCTGCTGTCCTCATTTGCAGCGAGACAGGAGCGAGGATTCTTCCCGTGCTCTGTGACCACAGTTATGGCTTTTCACAGTTTTGGGCTCATGATATGGCCTCCGTCTGGACACACAGACGTATCGAGTGACTGCAAGGAATCATATTCTTAGGTTTTTTCGGTAAAGTCCTCTAGGTAAAAAAATTATAATTAATAAAAGTTAAATAAAATAAAAATCACGACGTTTCGGAGGCAACACAAGCCTCCGTTAATTTTGGAGCTTTCGTGACTGCAGGAATTATTCTTTGGTTTTTTCGGTAAAGTCACGTATAAAAATAAAATAATAAATTAAATAATAGCATACGACGTTTCGATTGCAACACAAGCAATCATCATCAGGTATAACGAAATAGCGACATAGAATATAACCAGAAAACTATAGACAGACATATAAGCAGACAGATATCACCAAGATACATAGAGAGAGCAACCCAGGTACAGAGAGAGGTGATCGTCTCTGTGGGGTGGCCTTAAATAGACAGAGGGGGGCGGAGGCAGAGAGAGGGAGGGGGTAGGGAAAACATTTACATGTCAATGAGTACGAAGGGAGGGGAGTAAGGTAAGCAGGCTTAGAGGGAGACAGAACACACTAAATTAAATAACCTAGCAAAGTATCGAAATGTTATGTAAAACGACACAGAGAGTCGGTCAACACACAATTAACGCATTGCCTGGTCGATTACGTATTTCAAAGATTGCTAAGTTAGAATTTAAGTGTGAAAATTCCAAAGAAAGACAAAACATAAAAAAAGAGGAACGGAGACACACAGACAGAGCAGAACCTAAGAACGATACAAAACGAGTGTAGACAGAGAAAATTACACTAAATATACAGGCAGAGAGAGAGAACAAGAAACCCAGAGAGAGAGAAAAAGGTAAACTTGGAACTTCCCCGTAGAAGTGGTTCAATCTTAATTTTGGAGCTTTCGTGACTGCAGGAATTATTCTTTGGTTTTTTCGGTAAAGTCACGTATAAAAAAAACGTCGTATGCTATTATTTAATTTATTATTTTATTTTTATACGTGACTTTACCGAAAAAACCAAAGAACAAGCCTCCGTCTTCAGGTGGAACCGTCACAGCACGATTGCTGTATCAAGTCAACACAAGACGGAAGTTTGTATTGCCTCCGAAACGTCGTGATTTTTATTTTATTTAAATTTTGCTTTTATCAATTTAATTTTTTTACCTACGTGACTTTACCGAAAAAAACCTAAGAATATGTAACTACGACTCACCACCACAACAGCACACGATAAACTACCTCGAAAAGAGGATGATCCCGGGAAAGCCAGAACACGTAGCGACCGTCGGAGCAAATCAATGAGGCGTGTCCTTTTCAGGGTTTCATTTCTCGCTCGATATTTTCCGGAACGCTGCTCGGCTGGCTTGTGCCTTGCTAGTAGGGGATTATTGGCATGAGGCATGACCACGAGAGTGCATGGTACGCCGATCCATAACGATTCCTCTTTTTCTTTTACTGTACTCCGTATTCGCACACACCACCGCAGTATCATGGGGACAAAAATAAGGCGAAGATGGACGTGGCGTGGTTTGCCAAAACAATTTCCCCGGAGCAACGTGTGTCTGCAACAACAACATTTTCTTGCCGTGGTTTTCACACCTGATGATGATTGCTTGTCGTGAGAATTTAATTGTTTATTATTTTTATTATTTTATTGTTTCCCTTTTACGTGACTTTACCGAAAGAACCAAGAATATGGCTTGCGTTGTTGTTTGGTCACTGGCCGAGAGGAGAAACTTGGGGATGATGTGGAGACACTGGGCCGCGTTCACCTTCCCCCCCCGCACAGACGATCTGCGCGCCCAGGTGGAGGAGCTGCGAGTGGCTAGCGAGGGGCTCGTGGCATCGCTGTCTCGTGCCGAGGGCGAGATCTCCGCTCTTCGCCGCGAGCTGCAGCGCCGTGATCTTCGTGCGGACGAGGCCGCGAGGGAGAACCGCGCACTCCGGGAGCAGGTGAACGAGACGACGGGCAAAATCCGGCGGTGGAGGCGATACGAAATCCGCACGACGGGAAAATGCGTCTGACCGTCTGTCGGTCACAGGGCTCACCTTAATCGATTTTGGCTCATTCCGACTGGAAGGAACCCACGAACTCTGGTATTCACGATAAGCATTGTATGACCTACAGTCCTGAGGTGAAGAAAATGTTGATAGAAATGTTTCACTTTGCTCATCTTATGGGGTTTTAGAAACGTCTAAATGATCTCCCATTTCAAGTGAAGAATGGGGAGAATTTCAGTTGAAAATGCGTACGCATTTTAAACTTACGGTTGGTTGTGGGTAAACTATGAATTTAAATATATAGATGGACAAAAGTCCGTTTTATCACATATATATGGAATAAAAATTGTCCATAAGACTCGTTTCAGTCGAGAATTTTGCCCACTTACACAAACGGTTACTGGAAAACACCGATATCCGAGCCCCCGGGCGTGTCCGAACGTTGCAACATCTTTAGTTCTAAAGCTCGCTGCCATGGTGAAATCTGCGACTGCCAATGCGACCTCTCATCCATAATAAAGTTTTTTTTTGGGGGGTTAAATCGCGTAAATATAAATGCGTCGTTAACTCGCCACCACCCAACACAGCCAACTGGTAAGGTTTGTCCCGTTAAAACACATTCCTGCGGAGGGAGCTGGTAGGAACGTTGGGTTGCTCAGGTCAATGGCCAGGGTCAACGGCGGCGTGGTGTATTCCGCAAATATTGCCGACTATGAGGGCGGGCACAAGCCGGCGTGAGTAGGTTAAACGTTGAGTTTTATAAGGGCATCACGGGGTGACCAGCCCCTCCCCACCCAGCCCCTCCCCATCCCAGCCCTACCCTCCCCTCCCCACCCAACCCCTCTCCACCCTCCCCTCCCCACCCAGCCCCTCCCTCCCCACCCAGCCCCTCCCTGCACGACGGACGGACGAATCACAATAATCCCCTGTGGGCTGATGGAACCAGGAGGTTCCTACCAGTACAAAAATGTGCCAACGAGTTGCTTCTTCAGCTCACCGGTGTGTTGGAGAGTAAACCCGCAACATTTACGACTTAAGATTACCGTGACGTTTCGCGACCTCTGACCCCGCCGGCGCGTCGTGACGCTGTGCAGGCGGACCGACTGCAGGGCGGCAAGCAGCCGGGCACCCAAGCCGGACCCCACGAGATGGCCCTTCTCCAACGGTGCGGCCGCACTCTCCAGCACTCGCACACGCCCTGAACTAAACTATAAACTCTCTTATTTTAAAGGTTTAAAGCCCACTGAGCTATTGTAACTCTTTTTGTCTCAGAAGCGACCTTGGCCACAAGCGATATCGCAACGAGGTGGCTTAATCGCGTGGGAATGTATTGCAGCCAAATATCCTGAAACGCATGTTGTCGATTGTAGAAATGTGGAGGGGAAAACTTCTTTCGCACCTTACGTAGACAACCGTGCTAATCGGAGGTGTGGGGGAAGGATAACAAACACAAAAAGCAGATCTAAAGAAATCCTTCTCAGTTACAACATTTATCGTGCTTTTTTTTCGATTTAAAGCTTTCGTGACTGCAGGGATTCATCTTCTTGGTTCTTTCGGTAAAGTCACGTAGAATGGAAATAATAAAATAATACAAATAAAACATAATAAAAGCAAATAATACATTTGTATTTTCTTTTTTTATTATATTATTTTATTATGTTTTATTTTTATTCTTTTATTATTTCCATTCTACGTGACTTTACCGAAAGAACCAAGACGATTTATCGTGCTACTTGTTTTTGGCTGTTTGACACGTCGCGCCTTTTGGCCTGTGCTCAGCATTGTTTAATATATGCGAAGGCCCTCGAGATGTGTTGTATCCCGGTTGCGTTATCGGCATCCAATCACGAGACCAGTTATCCATTCAGATCTCTGACCGAGCGCTACAATCCTTGGTGCTAAAGAACGGCCCAAAGAAGTGGATGTCATGGAGCTACTTCTGAGATCCCTTCAAGAGACCTCTGATCCATACAGTAAAGGGCGGCACTTTCCCACTCGCCCTGCAGCAGAGAGTAATGTTCGTCGCGTGACAGTCAAACTAACATTTCTATTAAAAGCTGGAGTTTCGTCAAATTAAGTGCAAAACCAAATTCAAGGGTCTGATTGCTGCTGCTGCTGATGATGATCAACTCATGTGCTGCGCTTATTTGTATTCGTTAGGTTTGCAAGCCAAGGCACAGAGGTGCACACCAACCCTGACTTCTCTGCGTGGGATGGTGGTAAGCGTCACGTCGAGCCACGGACACCAACATCAACAACAACATCAACAACATAAACAAATCCCCTCCCCACGATTTGATCTCAACAACAGGATCGCGACGGCTCAAGTGGCCGCCGCTTTGTTGACGTAAAAACCACAACAGCTGCAGCAGTGTTCACCGTGGAGAACCGCGCGGTTCCAGTGATGTCGACACACAGCGTGCACACAATGCGCGTGTGGATGTCAAGTTCAAGTTCATTTATTAGGTATAGCCCTGTGAGCCATTCGGCTCTTGAATCGGGTGCAACCGCAACAAACAAAAAACATGAACAAGAATACATCTTATAGTGACTAAGCTGCAAACAGTAAATCCAAGAAAAGACAGCAAAATATTGCAGAAAAATCACCGTACACCAACACTGCAAAAATCCCAGTGGGATGCAAGTCAAACAACAACAACAACCACAAGACAACTTAGATTAAGGCCATCAGTCTAACTCCGTACTACAACAAACAAACATGGCCAAACCAAAAAACTTTTCGAAAATCACCAAAGTAAAGCCATAAAAGCAATGAAACAGTGGTCATAGGATGCGCTTTGTGCCCATAATGGATGTGTGCATGAGAATCATGTCAGACGTAGCTTCCTTTCAAGAAGCTTAACGTGCCCACTCCGTTTTCCCAACATGTTTTGAGCGATGGTCTGCAGTCGAGAATCTCAATCACCACAGGATATTTGTAACCTCCCCCCCATAATTTCCATGCACGCCCTGGCCGTATCGCTGCAATCCGTACAGCATCTACTGCCACCTTGGATTTGTCGAAGGACCTTAACATTCAACTAGGACATCATCGACACAAACTGTTGCTTACATGCCATGCGAAAGAATAATTTGTAACTTAGTGCATTCCGTATTTGCGTCATTCTTATAGCGCATTGCTATCCACGAAGCAAGACGCTATTTTCCACAGACACAGTCTGCGCTAGTTTCACAGTCGAGAGCGATGCTGCTGCTGCTGCTGCGTGTGCAATTCCCCCTGAATAGTTTGCGGTGGAGTTTTTATTTTATTTGGCAAAACGTCGACCGGAATGCAATTCCTTCCGTCTTTTCGAATGATATCACGGGACCTTTAACGTCCATTCCGAAGCAGACGGCGCGTATTTTACGGTCAACAAACCTGCGGTATTAACCACGGCGGCCTGTCGGATAACGGACGACGGACATCCGCAACGAGCGACAAAGCGCGCTACCTGCTGAGCGACACATCACCGCCCCTGCGGTTTCGTATTCGCGGTTTCGAGCATCAGGTCGGCGCAACCTAAGAACTCCTGATGAGGACCGCATGGAATTCATGGACTGCCCATGCGCGTGTGTGTGCGTGTGTGCGTGCGTGTGTGCGTGCGCAACCATCGCTGTGTGTGTGCACCGTTTGCGTGCGAGAACAGCGCTGCTCCCGCCGGAGTCACGTTCCGCCCTCACGTGCGCGTCCCCGGCGTCGGTGGCCAGCAGCGACCTGACGGACGAGCTGCTCACGGGCTTCGAGGTCACGGAGGGCGGCGCGGAAGCCGGGCCGTGTCGAGCCGACGCCGCGTCGTTTGCCGGTGAGGGCGACACGCGCGCAACGCTCGGGGCGGGTGGCGGGCAAGTGGCGTGGCTGTACATACGTACGTACGTGCGTGTGTTGAACTTCTTTCGAACCGTACATAGCGGTCGAGCGTGCAGGCCGTGCAACTGAACCGGGGGTCGAAGGGCCGGATTGGCCCAGGCATCGGGCGAGGGAGAGTTCAAAGCTGTTGCGTAAAACACGAACACCCAGGCTACGGAATGTAAGGGGTGGCAGGGAAACGGGTTGCGTTGTTTTGATTTAAAGCTTTCGTGACTGCAGGGATTCATATTCTTGGTTCTTTTGGGAAAGTCACGTAGAAGGGAAAAAATAAAATAAGACAAATATAAAACAATAAAATTCTCACGACGTTTCGATTACAACACAAGCAATCATCATCAGGTGTGAAAACCACGGCAAGAACATTTTCTTGCCGTGGTTTTCACACCTGATGATGATTGCTTGTCGTGAGAATTTTACTGTTTAATATTTTAATTATTTTGTTTCGCTTCTACGTGACTTTACCGAAAGAACCAAGAATATGGGTTGCGTTGTTGTTTGGTCACTGGCCGAGAGGAGAAACTTGGGGATGATGTGGAGACACCTTCAAAGGCTGCCCCCCGCCGCCCTTACAGTGGCGGAGCGATTGTGCGTGTGCAGGCAGTGCAACTGCACCAGGCAGCGAAGAGGCCGGTAAATCGGAACAGGTCGGGCCCCACGCCAGAGCACGTGACTTGCCTCAGAGAGGATGTGTCGGGTTCGGGTGCAGTGCGTGTTCGGTGGCTGGTGATGCTCGTAAGAGATAAATGATGAATTGAGAAGTTAAGACAATTATGTTTAACCCCAGAGGGAAGGTCAGATGCTGAATATTATGCGGTAGTTTTATTGGATTCAGTAATCAAAACAATTCTGCAGACTAAACGTTTTTTAAGGTGGAAATTAGGATACGACCTTTTTGTCTTGTGGAATTTTGATATGCAAGCAACTCTTTAATAATAAATGCTGATGTTGTCATTGACAATGTGAGTTTATATGTTGTGTTTAGGATGACAAGTTGTAATATATACAGAAGAGGACTTATATGTTTAATGGAGTGCATTACTCGTAGACTGCATTGTGTACAATAAAAGCCTCACAATTTTGTGTTCAATTGGCCGTGCCTCATCTAGCTAAGTACGATTTCTGGGTAACCGAAGTCCGGATATCCAGTCCATGGATGTAGTGTACTCAGAGTCACATGAGCTGTACAGAAGGCAAACTGTGCCTCCTCCACAGTGGTCAATCCCCAACTTTGGTGGACACGCGCTCTCTTGTCGAATGCCTTGCAGACAGCAGCGTCCGGGCGGGGTACCTGGTGCCGCTGCCAGCCATCAGAGTTCCCGGGTCAGAGGTCACGAGGGTGCTCCCCCTTGCCCAGAGCAGGGCCCGCTCCGCCGACAACGTCTCGTCGTTCTCGTCGCCGTTGCCCCGGGGATGCCCGGCCCGAAGCGAGTCGGTCAACACGCTGGCCGGTTCGGCCTCCAGCCGCTTCAACACCCCTCTGTTGGCCAGCCGGTGAGGACGCGCAGAGCAGAGGTCGCAACCGGGTACCCGATACCCGTACCCTACCCGATACCCGGCTACCCGTACCCGGCCGGGTACGGGTACAGGTACCCGTTTGCAACCCTGGTGCGGCCGGGTACGGGTAAGGAATCAAAACCCGTTTGCGACCTCTGGCGCAGAGGGCTTCCATTATTGACACTGTGCTATTTGAATTTTGCCAGGTGAGGCCCTACTCGAGCTACGTAGCTCTTTTTTCCAGAAGTGACCTGGCAATCACAAATGATGGCATTACCGAGGAGGTCCCGCGCTGACCTGGCCCGGCCCGGATGTGACCGTGGATATGTGGTACAAGGGTCAGAGATGCGTGGGCAGTGAATGGACGCCAATCGCCCGACACCGTATCCCCCCCCCCCTCCCTCTCCCCCAAGGTTCACGGGCGATGCGAGCTGCCGCGGCCGCCCCTTCGCCCCTCGCTCGGCGAGCGACCTGCGCGTGGGTCACAGGGTGAAGTTCACGCGCTCGGGCGGGCGGGTGGCGCACGGTGCCGTCAAGTACGTGGGCTGCCTGCCTGGGCGCGAGGGCTCCTACCTGGGCGTCGAGATCGAGGGGGACGCCGAGCCCAACCGCCACGACGGGGAGTACGACGGGCGCAGATATTTCCGCTGGTGAGCGACACCGCACCGATTGCTTGCCACCTATTTACGATATTTTTTTATTTGACCAGGTAAGGCCCGCTGAGATATAAAAACGATTTTTCAGAAGCGACCCAGCCACAAATGATAGCTCAACGAAGTGGCTCGTCATGTGAAAATTGTATAGCAGTCAAATACTGTGACCGGTGGTACGTTGATTCGACACGTGGAGGGAAAAAACAGGAGGAGCCGAAGAAAAATCCACACGACCAAATATACAGGCGTCAGGATCGGGATCGAACCCACCAGCTGCATACCAGGCGAGGGAGTTAACATCTCACCACCGAGAAACCGCTGCACAGAAGAGGAGGGCCGAAGCCAATCAGTTGGTTTCGTAGCTCACGGAGTGTGGGTAGTGGCATTTAAGATTAAGTGGCTGATGGGTTGTCTCCTAAAGAGTTCTTGAGTTTGGTTATTTCCGTATTTTGAAAGCCTCGGGTATTGCCCACGAGTCTCCAATTCTTTTCAATGATTCAGTTCCCGTTGCGATTCCAAATATCGCCACGAGATGGCGCACCAGCATTGTAAGCATCCCAATTCAAGTGAAAGGGCATTTTAACTTGGGAATTGCCGATTCCTGAGAATCGCCCATGGTGCAATCGTGGGATCCCTGTAAGAATTTACCCAGGACGAGATACGATAGGAAAAACCGGTATGTATCTAACAATATTCGTACATAACAGTACAAACACACTGTTACTTACAGAACATTGACGTCTTTTGCCAAGAACTGGGTTATTGTAATTAAATATTTAGTTATAGAGTATTTCGCACCTCCGATTATCACGGTTGGCTTCGTACGGCGCAAAATAAATTCAACACACGTACCTAATACTATTACAAGTCGTAGTTTTAACAGACACAGTCCGTTTGTGACAATCCACTGCTGGATGAGGGCCTTTCCACGCTGTTTGTGTCGTGGGGGTTATTTGACCATACTTCACCGCGCTGGTCAGTGCAGGTGCAGCTGTCCAGCGCCTGGCTGCCCACGATGATTCCCAAGCATACTCTGAAGCGTGCGTATGTGGGGATTAGAGGCTGCAATCGTTTTTTTAACGGTAGCTCCCTTTGCTAGGGCTGTAGCGGAAACTCACAACATTTGCAATCACAAGTTAGCAAAGTCTAAAATCCCCAACAAAATATTCCAACCGTCCCAATGTTCCATAAAACGCAATTACACAATGCATTGTCAATCTTGATTTGAAGCTTTCGTGACTGCAGGAATCCATACTCTTTGGTTCTTTCAGTAAAGTCACGTAGGTAGAAAAATAAAATAAAATAAAAAATAATGTCACGACGTTTAGATCGCAACACAAGCGGTAGTACTCAGGCGAAAAAAAATAATCCAGCAGGTCCACCGGATTATTTTGGATTTTTTTTTTCCGCCCGAGGATGACCGCTTGTGTTGTGATAGAAACATCGTGATGTATTATTTTGTTTTATTTTTCTACCTATGTGACTTTACCGAAAGAACCAAAGAGAATGCATTGTCAGTTCGGTCATTCTTGGTTAATTAGTTTGCAGCCAATTGAGGCATTTGGGCACGTGTCCAAGTCCGTGTCATAGTAACACCACTGCCCGCCAGGGCCATTCGCCGGCACCATTATAGCACGGTTGGCTACGTACGGTGCGAAAGAAGTTGAACATACAGAGACTCCTCTACTTACGAACGAGTTAGGTTTCAGAGGTCTGTTCGTAAGTCGATTTGCTCTTAAATCCAACTTTACTCCTGTCGATTCCATACATGCTGTACGGCATGTACACTAAACACGGGAAACGGCTTTAAAAGCTGTATAATCTCCAGTAGATGCCACTGGTTCTTCATTTTCTGCAGATGTAGATTCCACCACCACCATCTATTGCGCGGTGGTTGAACTTACAACTCTCGGTCCGCATAAGCAACTGGACTTACGGACAGGTTTGTTCGTATCTCTGAAAGTTCGTATTCGCCAGGCCACTTCTGAAAGCTATTGCTCAGCTCACTCGGCGACCTCGAGATGAACATCGCTGAACTCCCCCCAACATACGAAAGGAGCGCAACGCCTCCTGTATCGTGTCAGACGCGCCAGCACACGGAGCAACCTGCACTCCACAATGTATCTGTTGCTACCAAACCCTTACCGCTCCGTTTGTCTGTGTCTCTGTGTGCGTCTTTGTGCAGCAAAATCAACAGAGGCATATTCATCACATTTAGCCGGGTGATCATGGCGTGGGAGTAAGGTGGGAGGGAAGTCGCTCTCCTCCGTGCTCGCTGTCGTCACGTGGCACGCCAAGTCTCCCTCGGCATCAGCGTTTGCGGATTTACTCGCCACGCGACGAATCTCAACAGCTCCGTGAATTCAGGACCCGAGCGACGGCATCGCTCCCACTGCTTCTGCGACCTCCGCCCCGCAACAACGCGTTATTAACTGCACGGGGGTTATTATTAAGTAGGGGGGGGGGGTTACTTTTGAGATGGTGATTGGTGGTCTCTCGCAAACAGTATTTGACATTCATGGTATAACAACTTCCCTTGAGCTTTACCTTCAGTAGATTGAGGTCATCATTTGGAGGCGTAACGATTAAATGTGCCTGGTGATTTGACAAATTGTTTCGATTCAGGGCCATGACTCGATAATATTTTCAGTTGGCCTAAATTTCGTCCCGAATTGTGCTCTCGGCATTGTGCTGTGAGAGATGAAGTATTCATTCGGATCCCTTGCAGAGCAGTTGCAACTCGTGGTAGAAGAGGCACGGCCCATGCAAGCGGATATCATCACAGCTACCTCCGAAATCTCTTTCAAGCGAAATTTGGTCCTCGCAGCAGAGGGCAGCATATCCCTATCCTCACTACCACGAAGGAGAGCGTTACTCAATTGGGACTATACAGAGCAAAACTAATTGCAAATGAGACTATCCTGGGTTTTTTTCCGGGGTAAACAAAACAACGAATATCTGCCGCATGACAATCAAACTAATGTTTTTGCTTTTATTCTCAGAGGTGGAAAAGTTGCCAAATTAAGAGCAAAACCAAATGTATCACGATGGGGGTTTTGTGTAGTTACTGGCTACTTGGGGTAAGCCCATTATCTCAATACACATGAAAACCCAGTTGAAACACAGGCAGCTACTTGGATTTGAACCCATGATCTCCGTGGTACTCTGACATCTGAATCACCTGGTTAAATTTAGTTTATACTTTGAGGTGAATGGTAGCACGACAAATGGTTGCATGGGGTGGTCACATGAACAAACGACAAAAACAAATTAAAAAAAACCTCCCTCGCTTCTTCACCAATGTGATGTACATATCGCAAGCTGAAGCAGCAGCATTAATCAAATAACCGATGCATCATTCCACCACTAAGTTAAGCCATCTCAATTGCAGTGAATTTTAAAAAAAGTCTCAAATATTTACCAACACCACACGGGGTCTGAATGCCTGGCCAGTTTCAGAGGCAAAGAATGCAACTCTGTGCGTTGTCACCAAACTTTGTGTGCACATGCTACTTAAAAAAATAGCGCCACAAGAGCTGGCCTTTTGTGCGTTCAACCTCAGCAGAGGAGTGTTACGAAAAAAAGGCACGCTCATACAAAAAAATGTGTTACGAGATTAATTAAAAATTTCTGGAAAGTCTTATTTAGCACGTGAAAGTGCCTCCCCAAAAACACGCAATAAATGTCATGAAATGTGAGCGGCGGGGCAGAGGTGAGCGCGGTGCGCTCCAAAGCCAGCAACCCAAACACGATTCGCAGCCACGGCTAACATCAGTGGCGAGTGATAACTGAACCCCCCTCCGCATTCCCCAACCCGCACTGACCAGCGTGGTGAAGTATGGTTAAACAACTCTCATGAATGTCATGGCTTGGGGAAGACTTTCAACCAGCACTGACAAAGGACTGAAAAGGCTCCCTTATTTAGTATGAAAGTGAACTGAACTTATTTAAAACGGAAATCTGGATTGCCGCACCCTTGTCATATTACGTCCCATGTGATGAAAGCGGCTGATGCTATTATACATTTTATTACACGCTATATACCACAGTTGTTGCACACAAGTGATGTGATGACATATAGCAGTAAACACTGTGTAGAATCCAGCATGGGGGGGGGGGGGGGGGGGATATGTACGGGGAGCATGCACAGTACACGTACACACCAAGGCTGTCTCATACATTAAATGAATTTAATTTTTTTTACACAAGAAACTATACAGGCGAAAAAAAATTAATAAATTTAAAATAAACGCATGCTCCAAACGATGTACGTATTTTTTTTACGACAATGTACAGGCATTTTTTTTTTGTATTGCTATATTTTCACATGTTCCGAGTAAATAAGACACATGAAGACACCAAAGCGATTGGGAGGAGGGGGGGGAAGCTTCGTTCAGTCCAGCAAATGCTGTGCTCTGGAACCGTAAGCCAGCGCATCCTTAACGCCCCCCCCCCAACCCCCATTACGGTGGAGCATTCCACGTTCATCAATCTTCCCCAGTCGCACATAAATTTGATAAAATAATGCACATTTCACGCAACGGGCGATTGATAAAAGTGGAAGGCAAAACACCGGCGCACAAACAGGGGAACGCGTGTGACTTCTTGGTTTGCTTCTTGTAGGTAAGATGTGTCGAACTTGCCTCTCTTACCAAAATGCCATTTAAACTGTGTACGTATATTGGGGGCGAGGGCGAACTTGGTATTGAGGCAACGATGAATGAGGTTGGAATCTTCGGAGAGTCAACAGGTTGGGCTCAATGAGCAACTCAAGCCTCACGAGGAGCTACTTGGGAGTGACTTGACGTAGGACGTTGCAGGGATGGCCAGGGAGCTGTCTACACAGGCCAAGTGAAACACTCGGCCACGTTTATTCCTGGAGAAATGTTGCACAACAAGGCAAGGGCTCATCTGACGCTTTCATTTTTTTTATCTCCCCAAAACAACGCTTTGATGGCGAGGCCAAGCAATAAAAATAAAACACCCTTCGAATGCCAGCAAGGCTTATTGCGTTTCTCTTCTGTTTAAAATGTGCACAACAGCCCCTTAAATCGATCTACCGCTGAACGAGTGCCTCCCCCAATCAGTGCGGGCAGTGACCATACTTCACCACGCTTGTCAATTCGAGAAGGCAGGAAGCAACAGATGTTAAGAGCATAATATAAGTACAAAGGATGTTACTGCACTGCCCTCTGTCGACTTAAAAGTCTAAACTCATTATATATATGGAAAAAAATGGCTCCGTTTCAAGTATTTTCACTGGGAATTATTTTTTTTTACTGAGGCAGAGGGCCCTGTTTTAGGAATTGCGAGCACCAGTTGAAACCGCCACTGCACACAGAACAAGGGCGTGAGCCTGCAAGGCCATGCTCACCTTCAGCTCTGTTGAGTTCAGTGCAGCTCCTAAGGCTTACGGTAAACGAACTTTTACATCCAGCTGCACTGTGGAACAAAACCACTGATCCATTGGCAATCCAGGCAATTGTGCTCCATTTGCAATGTAGGCTGTCCTCTGTGCGCCAGTCGATTCACACCCATTTGAAGTATCATTTAGAATTAACAATGGATTAAGTGGATTATGGCTCAATTTCATGCAGGGCATGTGTTTTAAATTAATGCTACAATGTACATTTTAAAATGTCTAAGTCATCGCTAGAGACGTTTTGGCATTTATTCTCTCAGCAGCAAACGAAGAGTTGTGATTTAAACCCCTCGTCAATACATTGCCGTTGCTACCTGCAGCCAAAAGAATTCACAAGAGAGCAGTGCCCGGCAGCATGATCCAACCCACGTGTGAGGGTATGGGGAAGGGTGGTGTGGGTGAATAAAGGGCCTGAATACCCTGCATAACAAGCCCACATCACAACGAGTCACACCGCATAGACTGCAATGTCTCATCTGCCCAAGTGCCTTGCTGGTCTACTCACCGTTCTCTACTGGGTTTAAACCGTGGACAAGCCCGAGCCGGAACACAACTTGCTTTGTAGGCACTTATTGGGGAAGAGGGGGGGGGGGTAAATAGGTGGTGGCTTCGACTCCTCGACAAATAAAAAAAACCCGAGTTGACTGGGAAGCAGACATCAGTCACGCACTGCGCAGATGCAGACCGGACATCCGAACCATCGCTACCGAGATTTGCAATGAGCCTGTGTGTTCATGTGGTGAAGGTTGGATTCAAACATTACCATTATTACTATTATTCATTATTAATATACTTTGTACGTTTTTTAATTGCAAAAAAATTAACTTAATGAAAACTTTTTGATTATTCATTATTCAACACTTTTTAATACATTAAAATGCGGCCCAAACCCCACCTCGCTATTCATTTTTATTTTATATTTCATGGTTTTATATGTCTGCCAGCCAACTCCTATGGCAAAATCCAGCATTTCGTTGAAAAAAAAATTAAAGTACCGAGCCAGACTTGGCTTGATCACGTCAATGATTGCATCCACTTGTTCATTTTTAAAAAAGAGGCCACGTGGTGATCATATAAAAGATTTTAAAACCAAAATCTCAGTGCTTAAAGAATAATTCCAGTACCCTTCTGTTAACTGTTAACAATACAGTCTGTAATCCGTGCTTAATATGACAGAAAACCCCCCCCCAACGGCATTATAATTATAATCTTGCAACTGTCTTGACCCCCTTATTCTTATTACAATAAATTCAAATCATAAGTAATGCAGCACTGAAAGATTCATGAGGTGGCAGCAGCGTCAAGCTATTTGCGTCCCACACTTAACCACGGATTGCAATTGTCCATTCGTTACTCCAAACGCGACACTTCTCGTTCGTTTCGTTCACCCCCGAAAGGTCTTAATGCCGAAACCGTGTGCACTCGCCGCTTCAACTTCAACATCTGCACGCGTGGGGAGGAAGGAAGGAGAAAAAAAAACAACGCTTGCATTTTTACATCAAGTGCTCAACTCTAACCAAAATTCTCTCTCACTTTATTTTTTTTCAATCAAAGTCTCTTTTTCGGTAAATCGTATGCAATTTATTATTTAACACAAAAAAAACAAAAGCTTTTTGCGCTTCGGGGCGCAGCGCTGGCGCCGCGGGGGGGGGGGGGGGGGGCTGCCGTGGCGCTCGGCCACCGCCGGCTCCTGAGTCTCCGTCGCGCAAGGAGTCACTTGCGAGGCCTCCGGCTTCGACCGCGCTTCTCCCACGCTTCTCGTCAACGCGTCCCCTTCTTGACGGCGCCGCACACGGCGAGACGCTCCACCGGCGCGCGATCTTCCGCATCGAATCGCCGGGTTCCCGACGCGCGTCGCGGCCGGGTCTTGCCCGCAGGCGAGGAAAGCCCTGGGCCTTCTCCCCGCCGTTCGTGCCGCCGCTCGCACCTCCGATCGCTCCACGCGTCACCCCGCCACGCGTGCTCCCGCGGGGCGGGCTCGGTGGCGGGCGGTCAGTAGTGGCGCGGCATGTCGCACTCCTCGCAGTGGTTGAGTGCGGGGTGGTTGAGGAAGGTGCACGTTATGCAGCTCCAGGCTGAGCCCTCCTCCTCCTCCTCGTCGCGAGCCGCAGACCCCGCCGGCCGGTCCGTCTCGCGATGGTCTGAGTACGGGGGACAAGGGGGTGCACGCGCACGCGCGCACGGGGGGCGCTGTGAAACGCGGTCTGCGTGGCGCGTAGCACAGCAGTGGTGATAATGCGTGCCTCCCCGCGCCGAGTCTTGTTGCTGTGCTGCACGTGAAAATCGTTCCTCGATTAAGGTTGGCAAATGTTAAACATTGAGTCAATACTCTTTGGTTATTTCGGTAAAGTCACGTAGGTATAAAATAAAATAAATGACGACATTTTGGGCGCAACACAAGCGTCCGTCATCAGGTGGGAATTGTAATCAACTCAAAATAAAGCATTAAAAGCCCGTTCATTTTGGTTCATTCAAATAGCATGAAGGTGCAACAAGCCAGCACCATCGGCACAGTGCACGCGAGACAGTACAGACGAGACAGAACAAACGAGAGTAGAGACAAGGATAAACACGAGATTCTACAGACGAGATGAAACAAACGAGACTGAAAACACAAGCAACACAAAAGGTACACATTTGTATGGGTCAAAACAAACAATTGTGCCTTCATTTACAAATACGCAATTCAACTATGTATTAAAATTATAATCCCGCATCGTGATAAGTCATCAAATTTTTTGGGGGGGGAATGGGGGGTTCATTCGTTACGTGCCCATGTGGAAGAATGCATCCTTGTTGCTGTTGGTTAATAAGAGTACCGGAGAACAGTAGGATGGGCAGTGAGTATTTCAGTGTTTTTTTACGTACTCTGCAGGTGCAAGCGAGGTTAGAGTTACTCAAAGACCAATTTGAGTAAGGTGAAGACTGCATTAAAGTTGCAAGAAAGAAAGCGGAACCAATGGCAACGTGAAACAATAAGTCGAGCACTGTCGGACAATTAAATACGGATTAAACTAAATAGACTTCTCTGTACGCTCGCCCAATACGTTTCATTAACCACATCCTCCACCGATGCCAATCGCATTGCAAGAGAAACCAACGACGCAAACTCATTTAAAGAAAACAGAGACCAAGTTTTTTTTCTTCCATTGATCGTTTTCAACCGTGAATAAAAGTAACCCACCCCCCCTTGTACGTTCAGAGCAGCAGGTGATAACAAGGGTTCTAAAAACAACGCTCACGTCGCTTCCTCATTATTTTACACCTCATCGCCATGCTCAGCGGTCGTAACACCGACAGCGTCAAGGACGACACACCAACTGATTAATAAGCTGCTACTATTTTTTATTGTACCAGGTAAGGCCCACTGGGCAGTATAACCCTTTTTCAGAAGTGACCCAGCCACAAATGACAGCTCAATGATGTGGTTCATCACGTGGAAATTAATATCAGCCAAACACTCTAAACGCGTGATGTTGATTCTAAATGTGGAGCGAAAAACCCGAGGACCCGGAGAAAAATCCACGCGACCACGGGGAGAGACATGCAAACTCCAAATATACAGGCGTCAGGATCGGCGTCGAACGCACGGCCTCCTCCTGCACACCAGGCGGGAGAGTTAACATCTCGCCACCTTGGAGATCCTAGAAGCATTGTCAGCTGCGCATTACACACGCAGCAAAGCAGAGGACATCAACTCGGCTGTGATAAGTGCAACGTGGCTACGCTGGGTTGTCCGGGGCTCTTAGATCGTGCGTGCGTCGGTGGGTGGCATCGTGAGCTCGACAGTTTAACCAATTCGTGCGTCAACCGAGCACCAATCAAGCCGCCCGATGCCAAGACACTCGGGGGGGGGGGGGGGGGGGGGGCGTGCAAGCGTGGTGGGTGCAGCAGCCATGCGGACCCACCCTCCGCTTTAATGACCAGAGAGTCAGGCGTTTGTGCACCCTTAAGTTTTGCGGTGACACTGATCTTTCGAGCTTTCCTCTCTAGAGTGCTCAGGGAGTCTGCGGTTCAGACGGGGGGGGGAAGGTGGGGAGGTAAATGGGGCAGGGAGGGAGGGAGGGAAGGAGGGAGGGCGGGCGGGAGGTAGGCGGACGGAAAGGGGAAAGCAGATGGATGGATCAGAACAGCAAGATAAAAGCAGGCGCATGCTTAAGCTGAAGCCGAGGGGAAAGAAAATAAAAAGCTATTTCCTACGGGACAAAAGCAGGAAGGAGGCCAGGCGCAAGTGAGAAGGGAGATTTTGCATTTGTGTGACCCGAATAAAATGAAAGAGCAACACATCCCCCGAATGTTACGCTCGCTGCACATTAAACGTCAGCGCCGGTGGACACTCATCGTTTCCATCTGGACGCTTAAAGAACGAGGAACACAAAAATCCATCGACTCTTGCGTTCGCGGTTACGTTCACTATGGCTGTCCTAAAATAGTCTGATGTTTTCACAATGAGCAATTAAACCACCGCTGTGCAGGTATGCGCGGTTGTGTTGTTTAGCACGCCGATGTGTTTTGGGGTTGCGCTGTGTCCCGCTCGAAATGATGTCTGACGTTTTGCTCCACGTGTTGGAAACCTCTCCAGGAAATGAATGTTACTGAAGACCCACACCTCCCTCTCCCCTTGAAGAAGTTCCCCGAACATGAAGTGAAATGCCAAACAAGACACGGCACAACACAAACACGCAGCAAAGAGACAGTAAAAACCAGGATCAGATGCATCATCTCGGCGCTCTCTTAAGGTCGCACTCATTACACACAGAGTGCTTTCCACAAATAAACCACAATACCTTGCCGATCTCGTCAAGGAGCATAAACTCTGGTCATCCTAAGCAGTGGCTTTTGGATAAACGTCGATGCAAAGACGGTCACCTCATCGTGCGGCGTTTTTAGGAAGCCACTGGAGCTATGCCCTTTAAAAGCTGGACTGAAAACTCATTTCTTTAGAACTTCTTTTTGTGTTTAGTTCGTTGTCCTTCCGCCGCGCACCTCCAATTATCACGGTTGGCTACGTACGGTGCGAATTTTTTATAACATAAACAAAGTAAAATCACTCCGATGTCGCTCCCATGAATGTTAATCGAATGGCCAATGCCGCACCATGACTGGAGCGCTGAGACAAACCACCTGACGACTTTTCTCGTGAACGTAGCTTCAAATCCACGTCCAACAGCACGGAACACACGGCCTTCGTACCGACGCGCTTAAAAATGTTTTGAGTTTTTGCGAGTTGTCTCCCTTCACCCAAAGTCCACTGCCGCACGGCTACTTGAAAACCAAATTGGTGCCGGACAATCCCTCACATGGGGGTCGACAGATGCCCGGTTCCGGTGTGTGTGGAATGACGGATGAGCAAAATTGTGGAGGGTTTCTCTGGGTCCGGTGTGGCCATGTGGGCATGGTAAAAGCCCCTATTGCTACATCAGTTTTTATTCAAGACAACTTAAAAATGGGCTTTGGCCAATTATGGTAAAGCCCGGTGTTTCACAGACTACCCCATCCTCACTTCTCCAATGGAGGCCCTCGAGGGCCGCTTATATCTAATAAAAACGGAGCGTGTCGACAGCCGCCGTGAGAAAAGCCCCTTTATTGATTTGCTTGCCAGCTACGGAAGTGACCTCTGGTGAGCATCGGCTGTGTGAGCGAGCAACTCACCTTGAGTGGAGGCTTTGGGAGGGACAGGTCCGACCTGCCCCTGGTAGCCCAGGTTCTTGTAAAAACTCAAGGTGGTATCCGGGTTAAAGTTCTTTCCTGTGACAAAGAACGAACGAACAAACGTAAAAAGTACGTTGCAATGAAGCACGGTGGCGATTCTCGTGGTGGTTTCAATTGCAATCATCACTGTGTCTGTGATGCATGTGGAGGGTCGGGGGAAGGTCGGGGGTCATGTGTGGGGCAGGGGGGGGGGGGGCAGATCGAGCAGCTGAGAGATCGCAGTGCTACTAAGAGGCACTTGCTCACCCCTCGCCTGGCAGAGGTCGAACTCCTTGGTCATGCAGTCGATATCGATCTGCAGCTGGCGGTTCTTCTGCCGCAGTTTGCTCATGTCATCCAGCTGCAGCACAGAGGGAAGAATGCGATCGTCGCTCAAAAGCTCTCGGCGTAAAGACGCCAGCGGCGATGTCAATAACACCAACACACGGGGCAAGCCTATGATCCTACGCTTTGGAGGAATGGGTTGGTTAATCAAACAGATGTGAAATTCTCAAGTTTTCTGAGCTGATGTGACTAGAAGATGGCAGTACAGAAACATGATTCTTGAATCTGTCTGTACAGATAACTGAGTACGAGGTCTCCTTACGTGCGGGGGATTTCTCGAGGTACCCAGTGTTTGCCCAATGCAGGACCCTCCAAGTATATTATTTAGACTTCTATTTAAAGCTTTCGTGACTGCAGGGATTCATATTCTTGGTTCTTTCGGTAAAGGCATGTAGAAGGGAAACAATAAAATAATAAGAAATAAATGTATTTATTGTTTCATATTTTTACGTTTCATATTTTTATGAAACAATAAATATATTTTTATTTTTTATTATTTTATTGTTTCCCTTCTACGTGACTTTACCGAAAAAACCAAGAATATTTAGACTTCGTTGAGACTTTCGTATATAAAGTCCATCACCATTCCTTACTACTGTCTGAAAGTTTTTAAATTGTGGTGGTGGTGGCGCTCCTGCCTACCCTGGAAGAGGCTCCAACATCTCGACCCTTGCCACCCGCTGCACTCCGGCACCGCTGAGTTTACCGAAACATTGCAGGAGCGGCACCGTGACACGCCCCCCCCCCCCCCCACCTCCATTTGTGTATCCGGGAGACGGGGATACGGTGTCCGGGTGGGGTCTTCATCCTCGCATGCTGCTACTCATGTCACACTTAACTCTGTGTCGATTTCTCTGCTAGCTCCCCCGTGTGCCGTTTCTCGCCTTACAAGGTTCTCGTTAACAGCACCTGCCCCAAAAGTCTGTTTAAGGGTATATAGGTAACCTTAATATTTGTCTGTGTGTAAATTTCACAAACCAATGTGACCTACAAACCATTGTCTCCAAAGCACTTGATTACTGGTGTAAACCTAATGTGTATTCAGCAGTAATTATTGAACAATATTAGACACTATGGGAGTGGGCTGAATATATACTGTGAGAGAGTGAAAGGAGTACTATAAATATAGGGTAATTGAATCCTTAAATAGGGTCATTGGATATTTTAGTACAGAACGCACAGTTCCGATTGCACCGACTGGTGATCGGCAGGTAGTGAATGGTCATGTGCATCAGCCTTTGCCTTTCCTGTAATTGGGCCTCAGAGACCGTGGCCGTTTAAACGCGAGCGGTTTGAGGAGCACTGCCTAAGAGCACACACAGCTGCTGCCCTCCCTCCCTCCCTCTCTCTTCCTTCCTTTCTTCACCACCACCACCACCCCCCTTCCCATCCCCCTCCACAATTATTCCCCTTAGCCCATCCCTAACCCGAACCTCCCCCCCACCACTCCCCATGTCCAGGATGTCCTGCCAAGTGCAGGGAGCGGTGTGGCCAGACAGGTGCTCTGCTAAAAGGATGCGTTGGCACCGTGTTGTGTTTAAAGGTGGGGCCCGAGCTTTGGCTAGCTAATTACGGATGATTAGTATCGACCATCCACATATTAATTCCAAGTGGCCATTGTTGTATTTATATTTTTGAACGGAGCGTCCGATTGCCAGGCAGCTCCGGTGTGCGCAGTGTCGTGGCGTCCGTCGCAATGGATGCGGGTGATTGTAAGAGACTTGGCGCTCTACGCGGGGGCTTGATTAGCGCGACGGATCGGTTTCGTTTGTGGTTTGACGGTGGCGAGAGGCGCCACGGTGGAGAGATGTTATCTCCGTCGCCTGGTATGGAGAAGGGCATGGGTTCGATCCTGACCCTGACGCCTGCTGTATATTTGCAGTTTGCATGTTCTCCCCGTGGCCGTGTGGAATTTTCTCCGGGTCCTCCGGTTTATCCCCTCCACATTTAGAATCAACATGCGTCTACAGTATTTCGCTTTTATACTTTTCTGCGGCCATCATTTGCGATGGACAGGTCGCTTGCGAAAAAAAGAGTTCCGTGGCTCAAGTGGGCCTTACCTGATAATTGGGTTTTTACCCTTTTATCTGGCAACAAAGCTGACACCTTTTTTTTACAAGGAGTCATGTTTGAATAGACCACAATACCTGCAGTCGTAATGCAAACAAAAAACATAACTCTGATAATGTATGCACTGTCCTTGAAGTTGATTGGTCCACACCCGAGACAGCTTTCCTTAGAGCCTAGTCTCATATGGTGTTGGACCAGGCGCCTTTTGGCGTCATCTGATCAACCAATCAACTTCAAGGACAGTGCATACATTATCAGAGTTATGTTTTTTGTTTGCATTACGACTGCAGGTATTGTAGTCAATGCAAACATGACTCCTTGTAAAAAAAGGTGTCAGTTTTGTTGCCAGATAAAAGGGTAAAAAAACAATTATCATATTTTTTCTTTTGGCAAATGAGGTTCCAATGGGCCTTACCTGTTACAAAAAATCAAGTTTAGACAGGGATGCAGGGGGGTGAACGAGCTGGTGGGAGGAGGGCGATCACTCACGGAAGGCGTGTGCATGGAGGAGCTGGCGCGCCGCAAGCGCCGCTGGTTGAGCACATTCTCCATCTCGTTCACCTCGGCCTTGAGCGTCTCGAGCGAGCCGCGCTCCACCCCCAGCGCCTCTTGCAGCCGATCCATGCGCATCCGCTGGTGCAGCATCAGCGCTGCCAGACGTGCAGGCGTTGGGGGATGTGGGCATGCGCACGGAGGACAAAAAAAGATTCAGAATCAGCAATCGGAATCTTTATTTAGACCGGATGAGGGGGACTCCGATGAGCGAGAGGCTCTTTTTCCCACAAATGTTCAGCATGGGGCGGGTTAGAAAATTCCAACAGCAAACAATAAAAAAAAATAGGAGTGTAAAAATAGAGAAAATTGTATGCAAGTCACTAAATAGAAATAAACACCCAACTAGCTAATTCTATGAGTTGGATTTATCAAGATTGGGCAAGGCAGCAAAAACAACAACAATAAAGTCCCAGACCTCACCAAGATAACACCACCACCACACAGTCCCTCAGAGCCTCAACAGATTCTTATTTTTGGGGCACGTGCTGTTTGCGAGCACCTATGAAGTTCCGGCACGGGTATACGAGGGGGTGGGTCGTCAGCACCACGCCCGGCCGCCTTTGTCTCCCCGGTGACGATGTTTACAGAGCGCACACAGGCACTCATTTGAACGAGAGTCGACCAAGGGGTGGCTCAGGACTGGTGAAGATAATCATCGCTGGTGTTGGCCGGGAGCAGGAAAATGAACTCGGGTCGCCGGGTTTGTAGCGCTCCCACCACACCCCTACATTTTTTCAGTGAATCTTCACGATTCGGAGTCATGAACCTATTCAATAATCCATTCTTTTTTACCTACAACATGGTGAGTGCAACACCTATAACAGTTGCTGAAATCACACTTTTGGCGTCATCTGGTCGAACACTATATGAGACTAGGCTCTAAAGAAAGCTGTCTCTGGTGTGGACCAATCAGTTTCAAGGACAATGCATAAATTATCAGAGTATTGTTTTTTGTTTGCATTTGACTGCAAGTATTGTGGTTAATGTAAACATGATTCCTTGCAAAAGGTGTCAGTTTTGTTGCCAGAAAAAAGGGAAAAAACCCTATTAGTAAGACAGCATAAGCAAATAAAATAAAATACATTCTTCGAAGCATGGATTGATGTATTTATCATGAGCAGAAGCAATGTCGCATGCCTAGTCTCCACGAACAACATCGTCCACTAACAGTGCTTTGTGACGGCATCCTCATGCCTCACTGTCCCCATGTTCTGAAGCTGTTTTGGAAACACTTGGCGCAAACTCTGCGTGACGCGAATTTCAGCATCGAAACGGTGTAGACCATCTCGTGGGCTTCAGGCAACGTGCCCAACAGCTGATCAGCCAGCCCACCACCACACTACCCGGCTTCCACAATACACGACTCATCAGTGAGTTCACCATTACCACACTACCCGGCTTCCACAACACACGACTCATCAGTGAGCTCACCACCACCACACTACCCGGCTTCCACACCACAAGCCCCATCAGTGAGCTCACCATCACCACACTGCCCGGCTTCCACAACACACGGCCCATCAGTGAGCTCACCACCACTACACTGCCCGGCTTCCACAACACACGGCCCATCAGTGAGCTCACCATCACCACACTGCCCGGCTTCCACAACACATGACTCATCAGTGAGCTCACCACCACCACACTGCCCGGCTTCCACAACACATGACTCATCAGTGAGCTCACCATCACCACACTGCCCGGCTTCCACAACACACGGCCCATCAGTGAGCTCACCACCACTACACTGCCCGGCTTCCACAACACACGACTCATCAGTGAGCTCACCACCACCACACTACCCGGCTTCCACAACACACGGCCCATCACTGAGTTCACCATCACCACACTGCCTGGCTTCCACAACACACTGCCTGGCTTCCACAACACACGACCCATCAGTGAGCTCACCATCACCACACTACCCGGCTTCCACAACACATGACTCATCAGTGAGCTCACCACCACCACACTGCTCGGCTTCCACAACACACGACTCATCAGTGAGCTCACCACCATCACCACATTCCCCGGCTTCCACAACACACGGCCCATCAGTGAGCTCACCACCATCACCACACTGCCCGGCTTCCACAACACATGACTCATCAGTGAACTCACCACCACCACACTGCCCAGCTTCCATATTCTATTGAGACAACCGGCAGCGGTTAACCAGATCTATACAAACCGTGGAAGATTCTGCGAATACCTAATGCAAGCGGAAAATGTAAAAAACCCTCTCTCCTGTGTGACTGTAGCTACGACACACGCCAAACCAAAGACCGTTTAACTTGGCACTATCCCATATACACATGTGAAGGCCCAGGATGGGTGTACCTGCACTTCACAAACTCTCAGACAAAGATGTTTCAAATGGCTACATCATTTACAACTGAATCTCTAAATAGTTGCTCCTCATAGGCCACACGACAAAATACGTCCCCATTCCTGTGATATCGGTAGGACACTCTTTTTGAGTCAATAGCGGAAAGAGCCTTCTGTTGGCTGCTCATCCCATCATTATGGATGGACTGGGCTCCTATAACAAGGTGGGGCTTCAGCACGCCACTGGCAGGCACTTTGCACGATGTTTTAATAGTGTCTTCATTTTCCACAGCGCTTAAATAAACACGAGCCGTTATGTAACCGCGGTGTTTGGAAGCACAACCTGTGCTATGCTGCTCTGCTACGCTGGAAGACGACTGCAGATCTGCCAGCGCCGAATGCCCTGGTATATTTCTCTCAGCTTTGACAACAGCAAGTGGAGAATGAATGAAGGGATGCCGAGAAGGTGGGCACTAACTGCGAATGAAAGAAGGATGCTGATGATTGAAGTGCTGTAAGAATCTGCTGTGATCCACGCTCTTTTGTTGACTCTGTTGTCAATCTGCCATCTCTCTTCCATCACGGTTATTTGTTGCTCTCAGAAGCCCTCTCACTCCACTTTCACCGACTCCCACTCATCAATACCGTTTGCAGCTGTCGGTCACAGCACTTCATTTTCCCTGTATAGTCTCGAGTAACGGCTCAAACTGGCTGGAAGAAACCAGGTATCAAATGCATTTACGATAGGCCATGTACAACCAATGAACTTTTACCTAGATCAAAAGAAAACGATGAAAATCTTATGGGCTATGCCCAGGTTGGAATAGCTAAAGCAAAATGAGGTTTTACTTTTCCCATCCAAAGCAGTTTTAATGTCAGTTCACTGGGGTCATCTACAAGCTGGAGAGCTGGCTGCTGCACTTACGGCTGCGTGTTCTACTAAATGACAGCTGTACGCGGCTAAGGTGGCGCGAAACGCACCTTGGGTGTAGGCCTGGTCGTCGGAGCCATAGCTCTCCCTGCCCTGGTAGTCAGGCACCACGCTCGTCGCTCCGGCCTGCGGCGGCCCAGCCCCCGCCAGCCCCGCCGCACCCCCCATCCCCAGGGCCGCGGCTTCGGCCAACGAGGGCTGCGTCACGGACGCGGAGGCCCCCGGTTGCGCCGACGTCGACGACGCCGGCGCGGGGGCGGAGGAGTCGGCGGCGGCGCTGGCGGAGGCGGCGCCGCCACCGCCCCCGTTGCTGTTGCCGAGCCGGTCGAGGATGCCCATGCCCTCGTACGTGGGGGAGGCGACGCCGGGCGAGATGGCGGGCGGCTTGTTGGGCGACACGGTGATCTCGAAGGTGTACTTGGTGTTGGGCTGCGTGACGATGACGCGGGCCGGCGCCGGGGAGGCGGGCGCCGTCGTGATGGAGGTGGGGCGGCTCCGCGGGGGCTGGTGCCGGATCAGCGTCGGCTGCACGCACGAGCCCGCTTGGGTGTCGGTGCAGCTGGACCCTGCCGAGGAAGGGTATTCGAGATCGGCGGTGCTTACGAGGCCAAAGCAGAACTGAGATTTTGGGCAAAGCGCAAACTATGACGTTATAAATTAGTTTCTAAGCCACGTGATAAACTGGTTTAGGCGTGGCTTGAAATCTATATTTTGGTGCCAAAAAACTAAATCGTTACATGCAATTCGGATGAGACGAATGCAAGTACATCTAACAAAAATAATATAAATAACACACAAGCAACATAAACTGAAACCTTGAAGCTATATCTTGAACACATTTACACTACAAAGGTACACTTTAACCTGCCTTTTTTTACTTCGCCATTCATTGTTGCTCATTAACTTTGTTGTGGACATGTAGCATTAACCGTGATGATCGGATGGAAAAAGTCGAAACTAAAATAACCGCACAATTCTCCCTGCCAGATATTTTGTCTGTGACTGCAGAACAGACACAGCAAGACGCAAACAATGGGAGTTCAAAATAAATCACATGGGCAATCAAAACAAAGGCATTACCGACACAAAGGGACCGTGTGTGTTCACCAAACTGTGTGGGAATTGAAGACACCTGGTCAACCATCGCTCAAATGGGAGCATCGCAGTTTTTAAGGCCCAAAGGAAAACCACCACCGTTTAAAAAAAGGGCAATGCCGCAGTGTGCCTATCGCTTGGGAATGTGATCGTGAAAGGTGCCTTGAGTGATGATGATGATGATAAACAATACGATGAATGATAATGACGATGCTGCTAATTATTAACAGCGAATACTGGATGTTGATGACGATATTTATATTTAAAAAAAGGTTATTATTGACGATGATTAGGCAGAAAATGATTCACTCCCCTAGCGATATGATGAACTGTCATGATTGGGGATTGTCATTCGATTGCCATCTTACAGTTTCGTTCACCCCATTATCGCAAATATTACATTTCCAAAATCATTTGTATACAATCGTAAAAAGCTCAATCTCATGCACATGATTCAACGCACATAGCATCGACATGAGAATGGATTATCAGTCAAAGAATTGACACATCATTACAAGCCTAATGAAGACGACGGTGATGATGACGGTTGTACCGTCGTAGGCGCCAGCGCGAAAGTTGTATTCCCGTCTCACCTGAGCTTGTCCTACCCCCGACGGTCACCGCTGTGCTGTTGGTGCTCGGAGGTGCGGGGGAGGTGGCGATAAGCAGGGTGGGCTGGCCCATGCCACGGCCACCGCCAGGGCCCGGTCCCATCCCGTGGCCTGTCCCCAACACACGGCACACGACGCCACCATCAGGGGGCAATTCACACCATGCATACAGTAGAACCCCGGTCGTTAAGGGATGAGGTCGTTAAGCGAGTATAGAAAATACATAGGAAGTACAGTCGACCAAGAATTCAAAAGTGATGTTTCTACTTCGAAGAGCAGCAGACACTGAATGCAAACAATGTCTCAACGCTCACGAATGGATGTCGCTGATTGGCCGAGGCCTGGTCAGACCACATTGGAGCTCGCCGATTGGCCGAAATTGGCAGGTCGCGTGCTCGTCGTAAGCCCGTCGTTAACAGGGGAATGGTTGGTAAGCAAACACATTGGCTCAATGGAGGCCCGCCGTTAAGCGATCAGACGTTAACAGGGGTGGTCGTTAAGAGGGGTTCTACTGTATTACATGATGGAATGAGCGCAAACACCAGTCCCGCGGAATGAACGGCACAGCGCTCTCGTGGCAGCGTCACTACAGAACGGAACAATTAAGATGCAGAAGCGGGTTGGGAATACAAAAGTTGTGAAAATATCGGTTGACAGTTTTTTTTTTTTAAGTGTGAGTTACAACGATGAATAAAAGTGGGCAAAAATCATCAAGCATAACCATGACAAAGACACACCCATTAAAGACCAATGCATGACCGACGAGGCCTAGACCATTATCGCAGGGGCTTTTGACTAACCATCGAATAAAGATGGTCACTGCATCGCGCATTTTCAGATGTGCTTCTGCGGCCATCTGGAATGCTCTTCCGTCCAATATGAGGAAGCCACTGGAGCTATGCACTTTTAAATCTCGATTGAAAACAAATTTCATGAGAACTGCTCTTTGTGTTTAGTTAGTTTTCCTTAGCCAACACCTCAAATAAGTAACGTTGGCTACGTACGGTGCGAAAGAAGTTCAACATACATCCCCAGACGATCGACCCTCAATGAAGGTGTAGACTAAGATAACACTATGTAACACAATTTTTGTCCCTGGGTAGTGTTATTTTTTAATTGCTTATTCCTAACAAGTATAGAAAATGGCTATTATTCCCCACAAACTTTGCTTTTGTGACCACGACTTTATGTGAAGGAATGACACAAATGCACACGTTTTCTCATTGAAAATAGGTAAATTTGAAAATATCACTGTCCTGGTCACAAAAGTAACGTTTGTGGGGCACCATAACTATTTTCTGTACTTTTGAGGCCTAAGCAATTAGGAAATAGCACTTACTACTACGCAGGGACAAAATAATAATGTTGTAACACAGTATAATCAATCAAGATGTTAAGAGGCTGCAGCAGACTGAGGAAGATCAAAAAAGTAAATTGTTTAAATGAGTATACAAGATAATTTATTTAATTCACTGATTCGCTTAACAGATAATATGAGAGTGGGGTAGGAATGGGGCACTCCGCAAGTCGATCTTTCATATCCAAGAGTGCACTAAACATTTGACCATTTTAGTCGTCTGGCCTCGGAGATTAACGAAATGTTGTTATCTCCAGATTATCGAGCATTAAACACTGAAATGAAAATCGCCGATTCAATTAACACTGCGCATGGCAGACGACTGCTTTTTAAATCCTTTATATTAAGTTCGCTTGCTTGCTTGCTTACGACCGTGCAAATCTTTCGGTCGTTTTTTAACCCACTTCCCGTGATCCAATCGAGCTGACATTTTGCACACAGACTCGTTGTGCGTGACAATTAATTTTCGTGAAAAATGTTTTCCTAAATTTTACACTGTTAAGGATTTTTTTTTTAATATTTAATTACCAATTGCTTAATGCTGGCAGACAATCATCTGACCCATAGGTGGCAGCCATCTCAAGCCAGAGGACGAGAGGACTCTAGCCGCCACGCATATAAAAGATTTAGAGTGAAAAACTTTGTTTTTACGGGTTAATTTTTTATGGCACCGTTTGACCCCAACGGGAAATCTGACACACTCTCAATCACTCCATTTCCGTTACTCTGACACGTTATGGCGGCGGTCTGATGAGCTCCGTGAATGTCTACAGACGTCAACTTTCACCAAACTATGGGTAAGGGTGATGAAGTGAAACAGGGAAAGTAAGGCAAAAATAATGAAATAAATGCATTCTCTGTTTATTTACTTATCTCTCGGGCGCACAGTCTGCCAAGAGAGTGCACAACGATTTTGTATAATTATACGAGAGGGCTCAGGGAGATAGATTGGCACATTCCTTCCTATTCAAAATCAACTCGCTGCTCTCTTTAGGTGCCGGTAGTTTTCCTCTTAGATACTCGTCAAACGTTCCGTAGATTTTGGACATACATTCCAGGCATTTTAAAGATGCGGGGGAAATCATTGTAATGGCCAAGTGGCTTTTTTTCATTGGGCATAGGATGTCAACAAATTAGGAATTATGTAATTATAAAAAAGTCCACCTTTTTGTGACACGGGATAAATCATTAGATAATACAACGGTGTCAGACGTACTCCCGTTTTAGAATCCAGACTCGCGATGCCGATGGTGCATTTTTTTTTGTATGTGCGTCTTTACTCGACAAACAAGCATTATATTTTCTCAAGTGATATATAAATTACCTTCAAAATGGCATACCGGATGTATTATTTGGATGGATTCTAAAAAGTTGTGACGAGAAGTTCGTCCGAATTGTGGGAACCGTCCTACTACTGCGTTCCAGTAATCTGTGCGAAAATGCTCAAAGTGCTGCTCTCATAATGCCCCCTCCCAAACACGCGAGAGGCTTGCGACGACGACAAACCACGTTCTTATCCAATCAGAACTCCCGCAGCAGCAAGCGGTGCACTACTCCGTGCCGGAAAATATCCCAACGAGGACGATGTCATGGAACTACTTCCTAAATCACTTCAGGCCTCATCACTAGCCACAAAAGGGGCACGAGTCTTACGTTGCTCTGCAAAGAACAAATATTGCACGGTTTTTGTTTGGTCTTCAGAGCTGCTATGTAGAGTTAGAATGATGGCTGTAATCTAAGGTGTCTTGTGGTTGTTGTTGTTGTTGTTTGACTTGCATCCCACTGGGATTTTTGCACAGCGTTGGTGTACGGTGATTTTTTTCTGGAAGACTTTGCAGTTTTTTCCTGGATTTTTCTGTTCGTGCATAGTCACTTTAAGATGTTTTCTTGTTCATGTTTTTTGTTTGTTGTGGTTGCACCCGATTCAAGAGCCGAATGGCTCACAGCGCTATACCTAATAAATTAAACTGAACTGATAAATGAATGTAACGAATTGAGTGCCATTAGTATAAGGCCCGTGCATTGTGATTAACCTGTCGCCAAGAAGAATCCCATTACTCGTGGATTACAAAATAAATAATGATCATCATTTATAACCTTCTGTCAATTCACTGCCGTATGAACTACTCCCCAAACTGTGTCAGTCATGTGGGTTTGTTTCACAATGCACGTGCGTTGAACTTCTTTCACACGGTACGAAGCAAACTGCACTAATCAGAGGCGCGCGGGGGGTAAGCGCCGCAACCTCAACGCAAAAAGCAGTTGTCCAGAAATGAGTTTTCAATTTCGATTTCTAAGTGCATAAAAGCACCAATGGCTTCCTAATACCTAACCGTCCAGTGCAGCATGGGTTGGAGAAGGGGGCTGGGTCCCAGGACTTGTGATAATCACACGCCACTGATTGTATCCGTGGCCGGGAATTGACCTCAAGTTTCCGGGTTTAAAGTGTAGTGTTTAAAACAACATGCCACCTGCTTCACACCATTAATCATTTATGCAAAATATATCATTTAGGACAGGGTCCTTCACTATGTTTACTGGCCATGCCACATTACTGTGAGAGCCCTGACTAGATATTCTACTTGTCGGTTACCACCTGAGGTGACGTACTTTAGCGGAACCAATTTTTTTTTACATGGCCAATAACAGTGAATTATGTGATGACCATTTTGAAATTAGCGAGTTGCATGTATGTTGAGCTTCTTTTGTACCGTACGTAGCCAACCGTGCTGATCAGAGGTGTGAAAATACATCACTCTCTTTTTCGTCATGTAACTTAGGTGGTGCCAATTTCTACTCTGGCCCATGGACAAAAATTTGCGCGTGTTGGTGGGCCGTGACGTCAAATTTTACATGACGTCTGTGCCTTTTATCTATAGGCATTTCATCTCTCGTTTATCTCGCTTTCATTGCGCTAAGATGCATCTCTTCACGTCTTAAGATCTTCCCGTGGCCCACTACAAGAACCTTCGCAGGCCACATCTGTCCCGTGGGACACCAGTTGAACAACCCTAAGGCGAGTCGAACAAAATCAGACGGATGAGATGAAAAGAGCATCAAACTCGTGAATTGAACTGTGACCGCGGATTTGACCACAATCCATCGAACCGCGAAGACTGTTGCTTCTAGATTTGAAGCTTTCGTGACTACAAGGATTCATATTCTTAGGTTTTTTCGGTAAAGTCACGTAGGTAAAAAAATTTCAATTAATAAAAGTTGCGTCAAATCGCTGCATGCCTAGCACGAACGGCGGACAATCGACGAGCAATCCACATCGACCGCACTATCGCGATCCGGCTTACCGTGGGACACGAGTGACGGTGCCGCGTTCCTCACGCCGCCCGTGCTGCCCCAGTGTAGGTGCGGCTGCTCGATCTTAATCTCGATCTGGTTTTTCCGCGTGGCCGTGGGCACGGCGGACGCCGGCGAGGAGCACGAGGCGGAGACGCCGGGGCTCTGCGCCGGTAGCGACGTGGGGCCGGCGCAAGCGGACGAGCTCATGCCGTTGGGCCCACAGTTCAGGTATCCGAGCTGCGACTGGGGTTGCGCAAACTGGACGTGCGCCGACACGCTGGTGGGCGACGACACGGGCATGTAGACGTGCGATGTCTGATGCTGCTGCGACGAGCTGTACACAGTCGGCTGCTGCGACTGCTGCTGCTGGCCTTGCTGCGACTGCTGCTGTATTGAACTGTACACGGTGGGGATGCTGTAGAGGGACGGCTGCTTGGACGATTGCATATACAGAGGCGGCTGCTGTTGCTGCGTCTGCTGCATCTGCTGCATCATCTGCTGCTGTTGCTGCTGCTGGGCCGGCTGCTGGTTCAGGCCGCCGCGGATGTGCAGCGACGTGGGTGTGCCGCGTCCCGTCTGCATGTTGGGTTTCAGCGTCACCTTGATGGACTGTGGCTGCTGCTGCGACAGGCCTGCACTCACCCACCCACAGAACATGAATAACATAAGTAACCCGCTGAGGGCATATACAGCAGGCTCCTCCGAGCTCATGTTCCAGGGCCGCGTGCTTGGGTCCTGCCGAGGATGTGGCAGTTTTTTCTGTAACCATCGCCGCCGCTTAGATCACCACGTTCTCCGTTACTCGTTTTGAATCAAATGTTCGCGGTTTCTCCCCTCCAGCGCACGAAACCGAATATTGGGAAAACAGATGGCTTCCCTCGAAATCGGGACACCAATTCTCTTTCTTTCCTTTCAAAAAAGCAGACTGACAGGTCTACAAATTTTGCGTGCGCCATCCGGGTTTCGTTTCCAATTTGGGCACGTGGTTCACTTTGGCCAGATCCTCCCCGTGTGCCCGCAGCTGGCGCTGGTGAAGCCAATAAAGTTAATTGAATGATCGATCGGTTTCCACGCAATTCACACTAAGTGCAGTGGACGCGACAAACGGGGGTCTATGGAAAATCCGGTCTGGTTCACGTTTGCTTTTTTCGCGTGGACTGAAAATGGAACTCCCGTGCACATAAACTAAGTGCTGCTTTTATTCTCTTCTCGGCTTTGCATATGCACGTGATGCACGCAAACATAAACACACGGAAATAAAACCCAAATATTGTACCACAAACCATTAAACACAAGACCTGTGGAGGCAGACATTACAAAATACGAGGCTTAATTCGCATACAGTAAGCCTCATTTCCTGATGAAGCTTCATGCATTTCTTGAACGTGTGCACGGCTGTGCCCACCACCAGAAATCCCTGCATCAGAACATTCACGTGCCCTGGAAAAAGCTCCCCCCCCCCCGCCTCATCTGTCCGTGCCAAACAGCACGAAGTCCCTACAACGCCGGTTTCCATTTTGGCCGCCCATCCAAAGCGTTATCTCGGCTCAGTCCTCGCTAATTTTCCGAGATTTGACGAGATCGACCACAATCTGGGCAATGAGGTCACAGGCTAATAAACACTAAATTTTGATTTAAAGCTTTCGTGACTGCAGGGATTCATTTTCTTGGTTCTTTCAGTAAAGTCACGTAGAAGGGAAATAATATATTTTTATTATTTTACTAGCTTTACTACCCGGCTTCGCCCGGGTCTTGGATCCACGACGCTAGGCCGCCTATGTCTCCCCAGTGGCGATGTTGATACGCCACAGCAGTTACTCGTTTTGAGGCTGAGTCGACCTAGGGGAGGCCCAGGACCGGTTCAAATAATCGTCACCGGTGGTGGCCGTGAGCGGGAATGGAACTCTGTTCGCCGGGTTCGTAGCGTGGCGCGCTAACCACGACACTACAATGCGTTACGCTTCCGTTGTAGGATTTGTGTGAGGCGCGCCGATCCGCTGTAGGGTTTTAGTGATGCGCGCCGATCCGTTTTAGGGTTTGTGTGAGGCGTGCCGATCTGTTGTAGGGTTTTAGTGAGGCGCGCCGATCCGTTGTAGGGTTTTAGTGAGGCGCGCCGATCCGTTGTAGGGTTTTAGTGAGGCGCGCCGATCCGTTGTAGGGTTTTAGTGAGGCGCGCCGATCCCCCGCGATACAATAATACTGTGTAATCGCTATAATTTAATAATCGACCGACCCTATAATAGTAATTGCACACATTGTGGTGGGGGGGGAGTGAAGAGGACGTGAAACTTTGTGTTAAAGCGTGCGCCTATTTTTAACGGGAATAAAAAATGGCGTCCACCCCGCGGCTAAAAAGTCGCTACTCGTTGCCAGGGGCAACCGCCGTCCAATGAAAGCGGCGAAGGCGTCGCTACCCGTTGCCAGGGGCAACCGGCGTCCAATGAAAGTGCGTATGGTCCGGCGACACACACACAGACAGACAGACACACAGACAGACAGATTCACGATTTTATATATATAGATTATTTCCCTTCTACGTGACTTTACCGAAAGAGCCAAGAATAATAAACACTAGTCACACCTTACTCTTAGTTTTTTCGGTAAAGTCACGTAGGTAAAAAAACGAAATTAAAATTAATACAAATAAAATAATAAAAATCACTTGATTAATTTTAATTTCATTTTTTTTTACCTACATGACTTTACCGAAAAAACTAAGAGTATGAATCCTTGCAAGTCACGAAAGCTTCAAATCTAGAATTAGTCACACCTTGTCGGTAGTTATCGCTGTATCTTACTGTGTCTTCTTTCCCTCTACATTCTCAATCTTTGCCGTCTCTCTTTGTTCCTCCTCCTCCTCCTTGTGCTCAATCGACGCTTTCGCTCTCTCTCTCTTCTCACCCCCCTTCAGTGGAACAAAATTCCCCTCAATATTAAACAGTCAACTTCGCTCACGAGTTTCCACTCTCCACTCAAAACTCATTTAGTGTTCCCTAACTCCCCCCCCCCCTTCATTACCCCTTAATCTCCCGTCATAACCATCACCGCTGTTCCCTCTTCATATTCTCATTATATGGCGATCACTCGTTATTTACTGTCATCAATTTCGCCATCACCGAATTCTCGCATCATCGCAGATCCGCCACCCATTGCTTCCTCATCTATTTCATTCACCTCATCTCCACCATTACAGTCATACGTTGTCCCGTTCTTAATTCTCTGTAAAGCGCCTTGGTTGAGGCGGTAATATGAATTACGAATAGGTCTTACCCTTTTTGGCAATAAAACAGGTGTTAAGATGTTCAAACACCAAATAGAAACCTTTTGCAAGGATTTAAGTTCGCATTAATCACACGTACTTGTAGTGAGCATGCAAAAGGTTTCTATTATTTGGTGTTTGAACATCTAAACACCTCCTGTTTTACTGTTTTATTGCCAGAAATGGTAAAACCTATTCATATTTTTTCATACTTTGATACTGGCAAAAAAAAGGTCCCATTTTAAGATAATTCACGTTAAGATAAGCCAGACTAAAACCTCGGCAAGACGGGCACCAGTTCCAACGCCAAGGGCTCGCAGAGGAACCAAATCTCGGCGGGTAGCACAAAGCTCTCACCTGTGACGGCGTAGATGGGGTACGCGTGGAGACCGCCTGCCGAATCGCGGCGGCCCATGGGCTGGCTGGGCAACTCTCCGAGCACCGATGTGCCAGACAGGGGGGAAGGAACCCCTGTGGGGCAGGGGTTGTTGTGCAGCCAGATGTGGCTGCTGCCATTGCCCACGTTGAGGTGAATGGTGTGGGTGTGCAGGGGGCTCCCGGCAATGCCGCCGCCACCGCCGCCGCCTCCGATGCTGCCACCGCCACCGCCCCCTCCCAAGACTCCGGTCTCCTCCGAGTCCCTGTCCAGATACTTATTGCTCGCCTGCGCCAGGGCCTCGGCACACGCATCGCGGTTGTTCTGGTTCTGAGGACGCGAGAACAACAAGTATTAGAAAGGGAGCAAGTGAATATGCCGACAGAGACACGCGCGGCACGTGGACGACGACAGACGGCGATTTTGGTGTTTACCGAGAGTGGAAACGTGACGACGTTTCAAGGCACTGTACAAAGAGGGGCGTGGATCTTTAGGGTCTTCGTGCAACTTATACTTAAAAGACACAAAGAAGCACACATAAGACACATATGCACAAAATAAGCATACGCTTGCATGCATGCATTCAGTTACACACACACAGCTACAAAGACTGCTCCCGCATACCCTTAAACAGACTGTTGCAGAAAGTGCTTATAGTGAGCACCGATTAAGGTCTGCATGGCACACGAGGGGGGTAATGTGGCAAGAACCACGCTCGACCGCCTTTGTCTCCCCAAAGCTTGTGTTTACACACCACAAACTAGATACTCGACTTAGGTGAGGTCTAGGATGGGTTCAGATATGATAGTAATAGCTACCAATGTTAGAAGAGACTGGGAATAAAAGATAAGTATGCTAACCGGTTCCTCCCACAAAACACAATACATAGAGAAAAAAGTATGCTTACCAAAACACAAACATGCATAAGGACATGTAAAGATGCACAGATATATACATACAGTCACACCCACAACCACACACAGAGAAACTACAGATCTACAGACACACACAGTTCCACCGAGACGAAACACGCACACAGTCGTGCAGAACCGTCACACGAGTACGGACAGGCACACCCACACACACACTCGCACAGATCACACACGCGCACACGCACACACGTTCACTCACACTCTCTCTCTGCAGCATCACACTCCCTATTCCCTGCTCCGTTCGTTCGGCCGCATAAAACAACATTCACTTCCGGGTTCGTCAAGAGCCGCCCCTTGCTGGCCCTGCCCGACACAACATGTGTGGAGGAAGCAAAAACCCAGGCACGACCGACGCGCCCCCTACCCCCCACCTCCATCCAACGCCACTTCCACCACAAACGAAGCACAAAACACATGACCATGTGGTCCAGAGGAGCCTCGATCAAATTTCCACCCGCGCGCAGCTCCAGGCCTGATAACGTTTCCACACATGTGCAGCTGCGAGCGAAAGTCCGTGCTTGTGTTGGACGGGCGCCCTGATCTCCAGGAACAAGGTGGGTTGTTTTGTTTGCACTCATTTCTCATTTATTACGTGCGGTTTGTGCCGCTCGGCTGCTCGCCAGAGGTGGAAGAGGAATCCACACAAACTTCGACAACCCCCTTGAGAAAAAGAAAGTCACAAATTTTTGTTTCACTGCCTATTGAAGACAAGTCCGGAGCAATGTCACATGTCTGACCGTCACATATGGGCCCCGAACCAATGAAACTGCCTACACTCAGGGTTTTATTTGTGCATGGGTGTAACTGTCGTTCTTTATAGATGCGCACACGCAACAAAGTGTTATTCATCTCGCATACATTCGCTTAATTCTAAAGGGCAGGAAAGCTCATGTTTAAAGCAGCTTGTGCTTTATTTATCTTCATTAACCAATGTGTATGGTGATATAATTGTCATTCTCTGTAGACCCACGTGTCATACCTTTTAACAAAACCGCTTATGCCTCGCTGGCCAGTGAGTCGCAAATTGGACTTTGGACTGTAATGTTTTACGGCAAAACTCCAAAAATCCATGCATATACATGTGCGTGCATACATATAAACATACAATTTAATTTGAAATTCACCAGCCTTTACACTTCAAGTAAAATGAACCCGGAAAAGTACAAATTTGGCCTATCTTCTCGATTTATAAAACGAATATTGATTCATGACAATACAGCCCTTTGAGGTATGTTCCTGTCAAGAAAATACTGCTGGTTCACCTCTCAAATCCTCACCCTAGAATACAAGATGATGTGTTGCCAATAGTGCGTTGTCAAATTCTCCTCTGTGTGCCGAATTCCACAGACTAACATGGAGCTGCTCCCACAATCCACCACGCGACGTGGTGTATGTATGTAAGTATGTTGAACTTAGCTTTCACCGCATGTAGCCAAACATGCTCATCGGAGGTGGAGGGTAAGAACAGCAAACTAAACACAAAAAGCAGTTCTAAAAGAACTACATTTTCAATCTGGATTTAAAAGTGGATAGCTGCAGTGGCTTCCTAATATCGGCAGGAAGAGCATTCCAGGCGGCCGCAAAAGTGCATCTGAAAGCACGCGATACGGAGATTGTCTTTGTTCGATGGCTGGTCAAAAGCTGCTGCGAGGATGACCGGAGTTCGCGTGATAGGTCGGCCAGGATTCCGGGGCAATCGGCCCCGGTGGATGGAGGTGAAAGGACTCGAGCGCGTGCCTGGAATGTCACTAGAGGGCGCTACGGCGACATTCCTGAAAAATCACGTGGCTGTAACTTTCAATATTTTCTCTCTCACGACCGAGGGCTTCAGACTCAAGCTAGAGAAAGCCCCCCCCCTACCCACCCACCTCGTGACGTGTCTACAAGACAACACGAATTTGTGCTTCAGGCGTCTTGCTTTTATAACTAGGTGAGAGCCACTGAAACCATTACCACACAGGAACACATTAATATTTTAGTCAATTTAGTTTTGTGGGTAGTTTTAACATTTCGGTCAGGCCCTGCCCCACCCCCGGTAGGATTTTCAAAGATTAGCACCCAGCGTATCACTCAGCGTTGCCACAAGGCCCTTATGAGTCACTTCTCGTTCTACCTTCTTCTATCGCATGGCTGATGTAGATCAACATCTACAATTTCACATTCAGGTGGGCAAGCCAAACAACCGCATCAGGAGCTGCCGGAGTAGTGTATCGCTTTGATGTCTCCGTATTTGCGGATCGGGTCATTGAGTCGCTATACGTTGTTACGGTCTGTTCTGGATGACCCACAGTCGCACACTCGTGGAGAGTTTTTAATTTTCCATTTGTGGTTCTACCGATTCTGAACGACTCCTTCACCGCACTCGCAGCTGAGACGCGGCAGTGTCGCCTGTGTTTACGAGACGTGCCCATACAAGGCATTAGCGCCGGGAAGCAGACACGCGCCGAGCGTTATCAGCGCAGCACAAACATGCGCCACTCAGCGCCCCCCCCCCCCCCTTCTCTCCATTGCGCTAAATTGAGCTAAATGGGAATAGTGTGGAAATTAGGCACGCTAAAAACCTGCGCACACACGCACGGTAGACGGTCCAACTCGGGAATTTGTTGAGTTATCAAATTCGGTGCATGTTTGTTTTTTCTTTAAATTGCACAAGAAAAAGCGAATTATGCTGTACACGCGTTGATGCGTTTTGACTGTAATAAACCGGTTGAGATTACTTTATCATAGTGCATTGATGTTGACCACTAGCACTACACAATGGATGCTGCCATTGTATAATAGTAAGCACGCTGGACTTGGCAATTCAGGGGTTGCCAGTTCCATCTGTCAGCACTGAAGTTGAAACAACGGTGCAGGTTTTTTTAAATTCATACAGCCTCTCCACCCAGCAATACAAATGGGTACAATGCAGTGGTCGATCTAAAGTGTGGGTATTCGAACATATTCCAAGATGTCTAGCCAGCCTGGAAGAGTAGGCCAAATACCCTCTAGAGGGGCTCTCTTTAGCGCCCTCTAATGATGTACACACAGCACACCTCCGATGACCACGGTTGGCTACGTAGGCACAAAATAATTTCAACATAGACACACATACAGCAATTTGAATTGACTATAAAGGCACCTTGGCCGGCAGTGTGGGGTGAGGAAGAAATTACACTTTAAAAGCAGGGAAAAGAAAATGTTCTGCCTAATCTCAGGGTGTCCCACACCTCAGTTTAGCACGGTTGGCTACGTACGGTGCGAAAGAAGCTCAGTATACGTACGTATATACATCCTAACCTCTGCACGCAGGCCACAGTGCGATGTCCCCTCCGCTTTGCTTTTCTTCAGGCACGGCATTCACACCCACCAAACCGGCCCACGTCGCACGAGATTCCCTTCCTCCTGGGGTGAGTGGAAACTTTCGACCCTGTCAACCGGCAAAGCCAACTCCGCCAGTTTTTAGGAAAGCTCTTTCCGATGTCGAAAAACCCAAGCACATAAAACCTTGGTTTGTCGTCTAACGCCATGCCCTGTTGGGCAACGCTGCCCAAGAGGTCTGCGGCAACCGCATGATTTTGTGATTATTGCCCAAGCATGGGCAGCAGAGGTGGGTGGAGTCTGGAGGCACCGGGACGGGATGCTTGGTGCCGCCGGGTTGACTTAGGGTACCGTATCAACTGGCCACACCCGTGCAGGCTGCTGAGACCGCTCACTGTTCCAGGAACATGCTTTTTCATCCAGTTATCTTTATAGGAATTTCACGCCGTTTTGAGTTTTGGTACAGCCAAGTGTTTTTTTTTACAAGCCCAAAAGGATGGAAAGTTGCGGGGAGGGGTAAGTTTCTACGACTTGCCGACTGCACAAACAAGCCGGACTCCTGCATAGACCGCACCACAGGGTGCTCAAGGAGAGGAACAAACCCTAAATAACACCCCGCCGTGAAATAAAATGTACAAGCCTCCACCTGCACGGACGGCGGCGTCCGTAAAGGAAGCTGCACGTGCGGGAAATTAACGGAGGAATTCTCAATTTGTACGTAGGGATGCTAGTTATGTAACTTTACGACCACCATCCTGCAAGGGTCCTCGCCCACCCTCCCCCTCCTTGCCCTGTGGGGTAAACCCCACCGCGAACAAAACGTAGCGTCACCTGCCAGCCGGCACGGTCGTTGGCGCAGAGAAACGCTGGCACGGCTCCTACCGAGGGGAGCCACGCACAGAAGTGCCGCCGCCCCCCCCGGCCGCCCCGGGGCTATAGCGCAGTGTGGCGCTCACGGCGAGCGGAACGGTGCCCCCGCTCACCGCACCCTCGAGGAACCGCCGCGGTTCCGTCTCTCGCCGTTCTCTGAAAACGGAGAATTAGTGCGAGCGGCGTTTTTTTCTTTCACGCCTAGATGTAAGCGGCGGTTTCGTTTGA